GCAAGGAAATCCTTGTCTAGAATCTATTTAGCACACATTCACAGCAAAGAGGAGGCAAGTGTTTGAGTCAATAATCCAGGAGTGATGGAATTAAAAAGTAGATAGAAAGGATAAATACATCCAGGTGAACGCCTGGCTAGGAAGGTGGTGCCAATGTGAGAGATTTGGAGTCTGGAACCAGAATTTCTTGGGTTGCTTGCCTGGTGTGTGCCACCAACATTTTGAATATGCAACCTCAGATCAATGCAACTGAAGGTCATTTAATTGTTGGTTAAACAAGCCATGGTTAACCTAAGAACTAATCATAGGTTTACTATGGGTAGTTTAACCCACAGTCAGCCACAATGTTCAGGTTCATACATCATAAAATAACTTCTAGTCAGAGGCTACATGTTCAGAGGTGGAGAACATGCAAACTGGGTCAAGATGGTGGAGACGCATGACTGAATCACCTATCTTTTAATATCAGTGGGTGGCATGTTGAGGATCTCCAGCAACTTTGGTCTACAATTCTCAGCAGCACTAGCAGCATTGCCAACAGAAAGAGATTATGGAATTTTAAGCCAAAATACCTGCAAGCTGTCTACTCTTGGTTTAAATCATTACGCCCAACCTATGGAATTCACTCCCCAGAGAGGTCCGCCTGGCACCGTCGTTACTGGTTTTTCGGCGCCAGGTAAAGACCTTTTTATTTAAACATCATTTCAATTGTTAAAACATATGATCTGGCCAGGGCAACTTCTTCTTCCTTCTCTTTCTCCCCCTATATTTTATACTGATCATTTTAATTTTGTATTTGTAAATCAATGTATTTTTTGTATTTTTATATTTAATGGTAATTTATTATGTACTATTGTATTTCAATGTATTTTATCATGTTGTAAGCCGCCCCGAGGTTTCGGCAAGGGGTGGCATAGAAATGTAATAATAATAATAATAATAATAATAATAATAATAATAATAATAATAATATGGGCTGTACCCCAGTTCCAAAGACAGCTGTACTACCGGAGGAGGGGGATCAGCTTTTGCCCCATGGCTTTATCCTAATGGAAATGCCTTTCTGCACCCCCACGGTCCCCATTCCTCACCCCAACTGCCAAACTATTATTTGAGGAAGCAAATTCAATTAAAATATTTTGCTTAGCTCTGGATTAGAATTTAGTGTGGCAACCTACATCTCAGCAGGTGTCTGGGAGCAAACTGTAGGCAAGACACCGATGTCTAACAGGCAATAAATTTTTTTCCCTTTTTTGTGTAAGCCTGAATAAAATACTTGTCAAAACAGGGCTCACTGACTTCTTTTATTTAGCTGCTGAGGGGGGCCACTCTCCATTTATTTCTCTCTCACTAAATCCTACCTTTTCTCCTGCAAGGAATGTGAGGTGGGCTACATGTTTCTCCTCTCCATTTTACCCACACAACCACCCTGCGAGGTAAGCTAGGCCAAAGGAAAGTGGCTGGAGCAAAGTCACCCAGTGGCTGAGTGGAGATTGGGATCCAGGTCTCCCAAGTCCCAACACAACACTCTAACCACTACACCACTGGCTTCCCTCCTCACCCCCATTTTATCCTCACAACAGCTCTGGGAAGATTAGGCTGGGAATCAGGGACTGGCCAAAGCCACTCCTCATGGGCAGCCACAGACTCTTGATTTTTTTCAAACTATGGTTACATCTTGCCTATTTTCGGCAAGCAGACCAAGGCAGCTTACTAAATCATCTTCTCCACTTTATTCTTAGAACAACTACCCTGTGAGGTAGATAAGGCTGAGAGTTAAATCAGTCCGTGAGCTTCAGGAACAATTCTGGCTTGCTTACACCAGCTGCCTGTATGTTCCCAAGCCTAATCAGAGGTGTTGGGTTTAACCTATAAAGCCTTACAAGCCTTTGGACCACCATACCTGATGGAGGACCTCCTGACACTAGGTTATCATCAGAAGCCTCCTCCAAGTGCCTCCCTCCAAGGCAGGCTCAGAAGGAAGCCACAAACGAGAGGGCCTCTCCAGCAGTGACCCCACAAGGCTGGAACAATCTCCCCAGTGAGGCCTGCCTGGCACAAACACTGATATGTTTTCAGTGCTTTTAAGACTCTCTCTTTGGCATTTAGCAGTATATACATAGGTTTTGGCCAGGTCTTGGACTTTGCGTGTTGATTGTTTAGAATTTAGGTCTAAGTGTCTGCGCACTTTCTGTATATAATTTTTATACTATGTGTTTTTAAAGGCTTTTGAGCTTTGTAAACCACCCTGAGATATTTGGCAACGGGATGATATACAAATGCAAGAAATGAATAAATGAAATAAACAAAAGAAATCCTCCATCCTCTTGTGCAATTGACTATCGTCGCAAGTGGCTGTGCTGGTGGGATTGATGGGAGCTGTAGTCCAGCAAATCTGGAGGACTCCATGTGGGCATGGGATGCAGAGGAAATGAGACCACCAGGAAAGCGATAGAAAAGAATGGATTCTATTCCACAGTGCAGCTCATCTTTTCTAAGGGCAAAAGGGGGACCAGCACAATCCTACTGCAATGTGGCTGGCTGGAGCATGCTGGAAATTATAGGCGCTTCTAGCAGGCTCTGTTTGCAGGGGACTGGGCCTTAAATAAATTTTGGCTTCTGCTAACACTTTGCATCGCTCCTCTCACATTATGCAAAAACTTCACTATGCTTATCGTCCTAAACTTTCTATGACTGATCTTCAAATTCAGCACTTTCTTGCTGGGAAAAAAATCAACTTTAATCACATTTAATATTCAGAGTAATTGGACAATTAATGAAACTCAGCAAGGCTAGTAGCGAGATAATAGCATGAAAAAATAATATGACAATGATTAATACTGGAAACCAGCTTCTAATGAAGCCCAATTTTGTTCTTTGAGTGAAGAAAATAATGAGAAAATGACTATTCTAAAAAAATTGTAACATTTTAAATTCATGAAATCACAGTATGCTTGATCAAAAACATGGTCTAGAAAAACCCTCCTGCAGCACAGACCTACTCTAAACAATGATTTCATGACTGAAACAGCAGTTCATTTAAATTTCAGCCTACACCCTTTATGCAACAGTTCTCATCTGCCTCGGTGGCTAAGGAAAGAGGGCCTTCAGTCTCTCCCTTGCCAGCCAAGGTTTGCTCTTACAGCATTCCAGACACTGAATTAGTTAGCACCCAATTCTTCCAGTAGGAAGCCTCCCCCTCTGCATCCGTTCTCAATTCCCCACGCCAATTGCAGAAACAGAGTGACTGTGCAATGGAATCCTTAGCTCTTTAATCAAGCCAGACAGCTTATTAAACTACTTGCATGTTCAGTTTTCAAAATTAGGCACACATGGCTCTTCCTTTAAGTTCTAATTAGCCTTCCCTTTCTGGCTTTCCTGAAGCCTTGCAGTAGAGAGGAAAGGGGCGGGGGGGGGGGGGAGGAGGTTAGAACTATTAGAGAAAACGTCTGAAAGCGGAAGCTCTGCTGGAAACATTCCATTTCCTTGTCCATTACAATGTGATTATTTTCAATGCTACCTAAACAATAAATGTCCCTCCATAAGATAGAAATCAGAGGCCCAAATTTCTGTTTTGCAGCAGTACCTTTCATTAGACAGATACTCTGGGCAAAGAACACTACTCTCACTTAATTTTTTAAAGAAACACACACACCTATAAGGGGTTGCCAAGGTTGACCAAACAGCTGCTAGGCAATTTTAAAAGTGTATTTTCACAAAGAGCAGTTCCTTTCTAAAGAATTGTCATAATCAACCTCATGCTTAGGAAAGAAAAAGCTGGCTTGAGTTAGATGTAAAATAGCTGGGGAGGCACAGCAGTAGAAGAGAAGTCTATGAGGTGCCAGAAGGATTCCAAAGCATACCACCTCAACAGTAACGATAGGAATATGAATATCCTTATGATTCTCTCTTTTATACCAGCAACTCCAGAAATGTATTTCCCTAGGTAGGGAGTTATAGATACAGGATCACCACCAAAAAATGGTTCGCCCTGACACTTATCAAGCAATTTTCATTGATGGGATGCATTCTCCTAAGATCCTGACAAAATGCATTTGGGGGACAACCCGCCCTGGACAGAAGACCAGCCAGGCAAACTGCATGCCACTTCGCAAAACAAAGGCAGGCAGGACTCAAATAAAAACTGAACCTGTTACTGCTAAATGGTGCCCATATTTGAGTGACAACCAATTAAAGGCATCCTTTCTGATGACCGGCTGATGATGATGGGGTTGAGCAAGCTGCAACACAACATGGATTCTAGGAGAGTCCCATTTCTTGTCATCCTGCATGTCTAAATAATGCCACACTTCCCTTGATCTAAAATAGCTATGGAGATGCTTGCAAGTAATAGGAGAGATTCCGGCAAACAACTATATTGTGTAAAGCACCCATACAATACTATGAATACGGAACCACAAGTATACAATGGTGCTTTTCCATGCCTTGGGTGGAAAAGCTCTCCCTCTTGGCCTTTCCCTGTTTGCTAATCTGCAATTGCAGCTTCTCTGCCCAGCCAGCTACACCGAGAGCTGTCCTGGCCTGCTTCTTTCTGCACTTGGAGATTTGAGGAGCTGGGGGCCAGTTCACATAACTGAACAGCCTACTAAGGTTTATTCAAGCCACAGAGACATACCAAGCGCCATTTTGAATGCTCAAGCTGAAGCCATAGTTTGGCTTGGCATCTGGAACTGAAAACCATGGATTAAACAGCCTCCCCATAACCAGCAAGCATGCTTGACCCTTAGACATGCATAAATAAGTCAGGGTGGTGTAGCAGTCAGAATGTGGAGATATCCTCACTTTGCCATCAAGATCAATGGGTGCACTGGCACTCAGACTAGCCCACCTCAAAGAGTTGTTGTGAGGATTAAACAAAGGAGGTTTGTGTAACATGCCTTGCATTCCTTGCAGGGGAAAAAAGCAAAGATAGGATATAAATATTGTGGGGGAAAAAAAACATGGCACCCAAGCAGCCTAGGAGCTTGCATCATTTTTATTCAGTTTATTAGGAGAGTTCTCTTCTTGATCTTGGACAAAGCTAGCACTGCCAACACAGCACTTACGAGCCCAAGCATCACGCCAGCCACCTGCATACTAGTTAGCCAGTTCCCATCACTCCATTCCTGTTGGCCTATGAAAGAATCGATATATTAATAGGAAGTCACCAAATGCCTTGAGAGGGAGGGAAGTCCGGGAGATCCATTGGTCCATTTTTGTTAACAGCAGTGCAGTGGAACCCAGGCTCATGGGTACATGATGCTACCCTGTTTTGTGCATTTCTGCTTTATTGAACTTTTTAGCTCATGGCTGCTAGGACGGGGTTCAGGAAAGCCAACTGCCTTCCATGAGTCCTCCTTCCACAATCTCCCAGCATCTTTTGAAGAAACAGAACAGCTGCAGGGAGCCCAAAACAGCATTGCAGCAGGGACAAAGAGGGGACTCGCCACTCCTGCAGTGCTGGAGGAAAAGGAAGGCAGGAGCAAAGCGCTCATGATGGTCCCCATTACCACGGGTATCGCCAGAGCAGGCTGGGCATAATAAATTGCCCACTGAGTGCCGTAAAAGTGAGACACAATTATAAACATTACTAACAGAGCTGTTCATTCCTGATGTTTTCCTCTCTCCCCCACCCTGCTGATTTCGTCCTCCTTAGGAACTTTGCTTTTTTTAGGTTGTGAGAAGGGACAGAATAAGCACGGTTGCAGCCATATCTGGAACCAATCCACCTCCAAGTCTTCGTAGCCACTGCAATATCCATCAGGAGGTGCAGGTCCTCCTATCACCCTGCCCTCACCTCTCCTTCACCCCACCCACTGGTGATCCAGCCAATCCCAACCCATCCCAGCAGGAGAGATGGAGATGTACCTCTGGTCTCATGTTCTTCCTCTGGTACCAAAATAACAGCATGAGGGAGGGTCACGATAGCAGAATTGGCTGCCGGCGCCACCTCTGCAGACAAAAAGGCCTCCGTTAGAGGTGCCCTAAATGGAAGACCAGGGGAGCTGCGGGTGCTGCGCATGGATGGAGAGAGGGAGGAGGACGCAGGGGCAGGTCCCCAGCCCCCCTAATGGGCACCTGCATGCAGCCTCGTCCTCCCTCCGCTGCCAGGCAGTTAGCGATATGTGCATGGGTTCGAATCAGGCCCTGGACTCTGCTTAGTGTCAGCTGTTTACATTGCTTAGATGTGTGTTCCTGTGTGCTGTTTGCACGTCATTTTTAATGCTTTATACATCTCCTTGTTAAGGATTTTAACCTTTGTAAACCATCCTGAAGGCTTTGACTACTGGGTGATATACAGAAGCAAAGAAATAAAATATTTCTTTCGTTTATATTTCATCCTTGCCTTCGCCAACTAGGCATCCTCCGGTGGTGTTGCACCACTGCAAGCCATCATACCAGTGGCCATGATAACTGGGCTTGATGGGAGTTGTAGTCCAACACCCCAGGAAGGCAGCATGTTGGGGAAGGATAGTCTAAGAGAACTGTTCTGACAACCAAGAACCCTGGAAAGAAAATAGGGGTTGAAGTTAATGGTAATTGGTACATTTGCTCTCTTTAATTGCTTCTGGATGTTAATGGGAGGTGATACGTCTGTCAAATGCCTCTGAAGTTTTTTAAAAAAAGATGCTTTTACTCTGTGACTTGCTGGAACTCAGACTCTATAAGCTTCACTACTTTCATCCCCAAATGCAGATACAATTAGAAATTGTTTCCTGGGAGAAACAAGCATCATCCACCGCAATTTGCTGTTTAACACTTCAGGCTTAATCAAGAACAAAGCTATAACTGCATGACACAACAAAGCAATTCTTCCCTAACCTGGTACCCTTTAGATATTCTGATTTACAACCCCCATTATTCCCATGAGGAAAGATGGGCACTGTCATCAGATGTAATCCATCTGAAAAGCAGTAGATCAGGAAAAGCTGGTCTGGTTGCATTTACTCCTGTCTTCAGTTCACTACATATCTGTTTTCACAGTCAGAGCCAGATAATGGGCCAATGAAACCCACATGCCTAAAAAATCAGAACCACCACTGCCCCCCCCCCCACAGCACAACCAGACTGTGACAGTGTCCTTGCATATCCTCAAAATTAAGGATCCTGGCACCCCCAGGGCACCAGTGCTCCTCAAAGCCATTACCTGGCATAACACCAAGCAGCTACACAAGTCAAGGGCAGCAGCAGCTAGCTGTAAGACTATGGGGGTTGCAATTCCTGAGAAACTTTTCTAAAAGCATCAATAGCCTGGGAAAGAGTAACAGTTTCACAGCCGGCCTCTGCCACCAGGAGCCTCGATCACCCCTCCTATTCTCACCAGAAGGATCAGCCAAACAGAGGCAGATAGCCCTTGTCTGGTGGCCCCATCTGGCAGTTCTGACATCCAAAAAGCTGCTTTGCTAGAGTTAAACAGAAATGTTTTGACCCAGGTGAACTCTCAGCTGGAAGTTCCTAAGGCAGACTCATCTCTAAGTGTGTCCATCTGAACCATATGATTCTAGTCCTCTGATGTTCAGGAAAGTGCCTTGAAGGTGCCCTGGGAGGGGAATGGGGGAACAAGGACATCCAAAATTGGCCTGATAACAGCCGTTTAGCACCCGTCACTTACCTCGTCTGCCCCTGGAAGGCCTGCGAGGACAGCTGGTTGAGCACAGAGGGGAGTCTGGGTGAAATCTATCGCAGATGAGCACACTGCAATGGAAGTACACCTGGCGAAAGAAGGAAAGACAGCTTCGCCGATCAGCTCCTATAGATCAGCCATGAAATTGGGAAGTTGAAAATGGAATTCCTGCAGAGCAAGAGTGAGGAACCTTCTTGCGGTTGCAGATGTCAGACAGCAACTGCCTTGACCCCTCCCCATAGGGCTGATGGGAGTTGGAGTCAGCCCAGCATCATCACAATCGCTAGCAACGCTGGTTGGGACTAGTGAGGGAGGCAGTGTGATACATCCAGGGAGACACCAGGTTGCCTTTCCCCCCCCTTTGTCTACACAGGATGATTGAAGTGTTGCTAAGCATTATATCTGCTTTAGGTTGTGTTGCAGCATTGAGAGCTGAGCTTTGCACAAAGAACTCTTCCTTTCCTGCATTTCTGTCACACAACCTCTAGGAAGAATGATACATCAGGACAGAAGCTAGCATCGTGTCTCCTGCTGCAATTTAACTGCTTGTTCAAAAACAAAAACATCCAAAACCTAACATACCACCACCAAACAGGAAAGTACTCTGGAAAAAATCAGAAGCAAAACTTGGGGAACATAATGTCATCAGAAAGCAAAGCATCAGAAACAAGGCAATAAATAAATATCTTGTGCAGAAAAACTTAACTCTCCAAGCGTCCACTCACTGCGGCAGATGTAGATCTAAGATTACTGGACAAGCACATTCCTTTCCCAGAGTCCACCCCTTGCTGGAAGCCATACTGGAATGTTTTGGTAAAAACTTACCAGGCTGGGTAAAGCTTTGCCGTCAGAAACAAACGCAAATGCCTTCACTTCGAATCTTTGTCGGAAGTTATAGTAGCTGACCGTGGGGTCCACTGGATGGAAGACGGTTTTGTAGTTGTCCTGCTCGTAGTCGCACCTGCAAGAGGGACAACGCAGGAGTGAGCTAGACCCTGGTGGCCACATGAATGGCTAGCAATCGTTTGTTGACCTGGACAGACAAAACTGCCGGCAATTTTGGACTCTTCCTTGGCTACATGGTTGTGAGAACTGCAGCCCCCAAGTTTGTCACTACACCGCTGATTCAGGACTTTGGCACAGTTTATACCACTGCAGCCTCCAGAGGAAAGGAAACATGGAAACAGAGCGAGTCAGAAGGGGACTCCCGGGCCATCTAGTCTGGCTAGGAAAGGAATGGCTGTCTGATGTTCCGCGTGGAGGTGCTCATGACCACCCTTAAGGTGTTCTGCTGCTTCTCACACCTGCACTAGGAACACACAGAAGCAGAAGTTGAGCTTCCATAACCCTTCTGTAAGTGGCTATGCTTCCTGCTATGCTGGTTACCATAGCCAGCCAGGAGAGTCACAGGGTCTCCATCCCTCCGATCTAGCATGGTCATGCTCTAGCAATGTGCAGCACTCAAAAGCCTCGCATAGCTGCAAGACTCACACAAGCTGGGAAGCCACGGATGACAGTCTTTGAATGTGCCCCATGCGGAATGTGCCCCATTCCTACCATCAGGTCCATCTGTGTAGCCTTTGAGAGGCTGAACTTTTCCGGTCCTTCTTAGAAGAATTTAACCACACCGGGGGTCATGACCAATTTTGCTTGTGGATCTCCCTCCCCGTTTTCAGTTTCAGCAAGGATTCAGTCACGTGCCACTCACCCATCTACCACAATGTTCCAGCGTGGCAAAGAGGCCGGGTCTAGAGAAAGTGATGCCCAGCAGTCATCCAGCATCAGCTGGATGTTGGGGTCCACACGGTTGAGTACTTGAACTTCTATGAAAATGGGCTGCCGCAAGTATTTCACTATAGGGTACTGGTCATCGCTGTAGGGAACCATGTAGGAACTATCTGTAAGGCAAGTGAATCAGCGGAGACATCTCTTTTCCATACTCTGATTCATCTCAACTGCACATTAGACGTTCTCCAAAGCCTCACCTGGGTAAATGAGAAGAATCAGGGAGAGGGGGCCTTGGTTTACTACAGAATCAGGAGGAGAAAGACTGCCGATCTTGATATCCAGTGCAGCGTCATCACTACCATAGTAGCATATCACTGTTAACCTGTGAAAAACAAGGACAGACTGGTACTAGGAGTGAGACCATGGCTAAGCGTTATGTAAATGCAGTAGTAAGTTGAACATGGTTTGTTGCTTTAGACATGAACCGTCTCATGAACATGCAAACGAATCACTCTTTGTTTCCCCTATTTCTGCTAGGTTTCTTTGCTAGCCTTCAGAGCGGCTTCATTTTGAAACATGACCTAGGAGAAGGCCTGTATGGGTTTTGTGTTTTCTGGGGGACAGGAGGGGAGGTGACAGGCATGGACCAAATGCCTGACTCCAGGTAAGTCAGCCTCCTATATTCCTATGTACAGTCTACTCTTCCTGACCCCACCTGTCCAGGTGCTCAGAAAAGTTCTTCCTATTGCTGGCTACCCAATGGGGATGCCAAGAATCAAGGCCAGGACTTTATGTATGCAGGGTCTGCAGATCTATTCAGGAAAAAGCAACCCCATGAAAGGGAGATCACATGCAGTAACAAACAACTGGTGTTAACTTCCCCTTGAGGCCACATCAACTTTTATGGTCAAGTGGATGCATGACTTACTTGAATTCGCTGTCCCTGGAAATCCATCGTGCCGGAAGATCCATCCAAGTTGCAGTCACTTCATTCTCATAAATGGCCTTTTCACCATCGAACTGCAAGCATTGGAGGAGCAGTATTAGTCTCAGTCAGGTTGAAAAAGACAAGGCAGCTGGGTTATTGTTTAGAGCAGCTCACCCTTTGCATGGTTCCACACCCATTCAGTGGCACATGGAACCGAACCACATCGTTCGAAGGAGACTGGAATACTGGCTTGCAAGAAGGATCTTTAAGCCGGAGCAAATCCAGGTTAAGAGCAGGCTTTGTGCTGCTGCTGAGTATTTCAAAGTCCATGTAGCCATCTGGTGTGCAGACAGCAGCTGTAATGAAGTCAGATGTCAAGTCACATGGAGGAGCACGATTGGTGGCCAACCTGCAGCCCTTGGGCCTCGTTTCCAAAGCCCCCAGCAAGCAAACACTATAGAACTCAGGCAAGTGCAGCTCACCCCATCCCTGCCCCATGGGTGTGGGGTGTGGAGAAAGAGGGAAACAGAATGAATCGGCCCTGCCCACTTTGGAGTTCACCCCACACCCAACGGTGCCATGCAACGCCTTACAAACTATCCCTGAAGGAACTCAGCCCTGGTCATAGAGGACTTCCCCAGTTTTTCCACAATAGTGAAAGATTAAGGCCAAGAACTCTTTCAGCCTGTGGGTCAAATTCCCATGGTGGCTGGAGCCAAGACTACCACCCTGTTTTAGTTTAAAGCCAGGCAGCAATCAAGCCTTAGAAAAAGTTTTTAAGCCTTTAACAATTGGAGAAAAGGTTCACAAAAGCCTGGAAACCACCAGATGACTGCCAGTTGTGTGAAAGTTGTAATGAGGAGGCAGAAGAAGGGATGAGGCCATCTGGGAAGCACTGGACTTAGATCCCAGGCCTGCTGTTCTGCACCCTTGACTTAAAGGACATTTCACAAGACAAGGCTTCCCTGCTTAGTGATGTTTACCTTAAGTCTCAGACTGCATTCAGACAACATGGCAAGCCTTGGTGGTTTTCTTACTATTGTTGATCTGCTGTGTTGTCTGCACACAGTCACGGTATTTCACAATGGTAAGTTTGGTTTTAGAAACTGCTTTAAGAAACAATGATTTGCTCTGCAGTTTTTCCATGCCGCCCTGGCTTGTGGTTTTGTCTGAATCCAGGATTGTGGTTTCCACAGTCACAGTATGCAACTGCCACAGAATGGCCATAGCCTTCCTGCTTCTACTTGTGGGCCGATGAAGAAGAGAGGAGAGACATAGGCAAGAAGTGATGCAGCTTGAGATTGAATTTCAGGCACAGGGGTTGATGTGATACATGTCAACCCATGGGGAGGACTGCAACCATGGTAATGCAGAAACTACTTGATTGTCTGTTGAGTAAATCATCATTAAAAAAACAGACTCTGGTAACCATGCAAGGTGGCTTGTTCAGTTCATGGGACTGGAAGAGTTCTTCCACCACTTCTACCTTGAAGAGTGCTTCACGAGTATATGAAGAAAAGGAATATACACAGAGCCCTTACCAATTGGTGCATTTTGCTCACAAGGACATTCTGGGTAAATCAACATGGTGGCTGTTTCACCGTGGTACCCAAAATACAGCTTCAGCAATGGGGCATACAACTGAAAACCTGAGCAGTAGTCATCGTTGTAAACCTGACGTGAGACAGGGAGGCACTCATTTTTTGTACCAGCACTTACTCATTTTATCAGAGCTACAGCCCACCTCTTTCTCTATGAACAGCTCATAACCCTCTGTTCCATTTTGCCTTCAGAACCGCCCTGTAAGGTGGATTAAGCTGGGAGTCAGTGATGGCCCAATGTCATCCAGGGTACTTCATGGCTAAGTGAGACCTAGAGCCCACATCTCCTGAATCCCAGTCCATCCTTCTAACCACTGCATCACATTGGCTCTCAGTAATTTATTATTACATTTATAACCTCTTGCAAGGAATCCAGGGTGGAGAACATGGTCCTCCTTTCCATTTTATTCTCCCCAAACCTGTGACAGGTTAGACTGATTGTGACTGGCCAAAGGTCACCTAGTGAGCTTCACAGCTGAGTGGAGACTACAGCCCAGAACTCCTGAGCAAGGTATATACCTTGTGTATTACCTTAGCCACAAAGACAAACACACGTGGGATGCACTGGTGGGTTTCTGGGTGATTTATAATATATATAAGCACAACTCCCAAGACTTTAATGAAAGCAAGTAAACTCTCTGTTGACCCATTTTAGAGTGATGAGCAGCCCTGAACTTTGGTAACTGGCTTGTGTTATTGGCAACTAATAGACCCTGAGCCACCTTTGCGACATCTGGCTTTGCTTGGAAGACCTAATCCAGTCTTGCCCACCCCAGTGCCCTCCAGATGTCTTGCACGTCTATTCCCATCAACCCCTGGCCATGGTCAGGAGTCCTGGGAATTGTGGCCTGGAATATTTGGAGGGCACTGTGCTGGAGAAGTCCAATTCAGTAAAAAATTGTGAATCCCACAATCCTGGGGAGCAGCATCCCTGATTTAGCACAAAGCTTACCCGGGACCTCAGGATTCTCTTGTTCATGTGCAGTTTAACACCCTTCCTTGTATCCACCTGAATTCCATTGGCCTCAAATTGGCTGAGTGGAATGTTTCTATTGTCTAGACTGACAGCTGACAGAGATCCTGGGAAGTCTGGTATAGCAATTGTCATGTGTGTTGCATTGCAGATTGCTGGGCCTGGAGGAGGAGAAAAGGAGTATGACAAATCTTTCTAAAGAGACACTCTCAAACAAGCTGCGGTCCTATGCACATTTACTGAGAAGCAGTGAAGGTCAAAGCAAGCAGAGGAGCAAGCTTATTCCCCTTAGACAGTGCCGGGGGCAGAGGATAATTCGGATTCCCAGCTCCCAGGCTGGAAGCAGCACTCTGCACTAGGAATCAAAGCTGCAACCCGTTTTTCCTCTCAGTCAAAGATGGCACAGAAAGAACCATGCAAGCAACTCTCTGGAGTTGAGAAAGCGAGCCCAGAGAGGTGGGAAGAGGGGCAGGGAGGATAAGAGCGTGGGGCTCAAAGCATGGCATCTTGAGCTGCTGCAGCCTCCTCCTCTCCCTCTGCGAAGGACTAAAAATGATCACCTCTGCTCTTCCTCCCACGCTGCACTGCCTGAATACGAGCCTCCGAGTTTGAGGGCTTTGAGTCATTCCCACTGCATGCACCGGAGCCATTTCAGCTATGAAATTAGCTGGCTATCCACACTAATGTCCAGGCTAGAATTTAAAGGTAATGCACCAGATTTGGCACCGGCATGATTCAGTGCACGTTTAGGTTATAAAGAGAGAGTCCAAATGTTCAGAAACGAGTACGAGAAAATCTATTTAAATATGCATTTTCCCTGCATTTCCTTAAGAAAACCCACAGATTCATGTGCAAATGGAAAGGATGGATTCATGAATGCAGGCAAATAAGGACCGAGCCACATGCATCCACAGTAAATAAGGTTCTCACCTGGGGCACAGATCATTCTTGATTCTACGGTTAGCCGCTGTTCGGGAGATCCATAAGTCAGTTTGAGTGCCACTGTGTACAGTAATTGGCCATCTTGCTGCAATACAAGCACAGGGAGTTCTTGTATTGAGTTCTCCACACAGTTAAAAGGAACATGGCAACAACTGACCAGTCCAAAAGCAGACTGGATTTCCTAGTGCTATCTGTACGCCAGAGAGAGACACATAGATCACGCCTGTTCCATTGCTGGCGAGGCTTCATCAATGGGACATAACATTCCTAAGTGTCTTGGGATTAGGCTATTTGACAGCGCACGTTCCCTCTCGCCAGCCTTCCCAGTTCCTGAGGTCATCAGATGGGGCACCTAATGGCTGCACATGGACCCAAAGTCCACTTGGGGTCCACTCAGATTAGAGCTTTCAGGGCACTGGCCCCTGTTGGTAGAACTGCCCCCATTCGCAGCCAGGCTCTAACACTGCTTTGTATTGTAAAGACGTTTTCTTGAATGATTAGCCATTGTTCCTTGAAATAACTTGCTTTTCAGGGTTATTTGTTGGGATTGGGCCTGTGTCTCCCGAAATACAGTATTCCAAGTTAGAAAGCTCAGACTCTGAAGAGGAACTAGATGCTGAGATGTTGCAATATGTCACTGAAATGCCAAGACTAACAAGTGAGATGAGCCAGCGATGAAAACTAGATGTCTAGCTTGGGGGAGACACTATAGAACAAGCAGGTTCAGAGAGGGAGGGGCCTGAGTTAAACCAACCTGGTGGTTTGTCATCAAGCCAAATAAACAGACCCACTAAATAATACCCAGCATTCTTACTGCCTGGCCCATGAGAAGCACAAACCTCCCTGAGGGTGAAGCCAGCCCATTTTGGAGAAGCGAGGAGAAGGATTCAGTTTTGAATTCACTCCTGACCTGGGCAAGCGCTAACTCCACCTGCTACAGAGATCGCTACTTTGATAGATACAACTTGCCAACCACTTTATTATTGCTGGACAATATAGACCCTGTGCCTGATCCAGAAACCTTTGAAGTTCCCCTTTCATGGGACAGACTAACACTTTCCTTGAGGGCTTTGCTGTCATGGGAACATCAGATTTCTGCTACTCACCATACCTTGTAAGAAGCAACTCCTGCAGCATCAAAAGAGACTTGAATGATGACACGGTTGTCATCCATCAGAAAATTGTAGCCCTGTTGCATGGCTTGTCTAAGGCTCAGCTTGCGCATTTGTGTCCCATCTTCTACTGACAAAATCCACTCCATCCGAGACTCTGCGGCCTGTAATACAGAATTCAACTGCAGCGGTAGCAACAACCCTGAATCAAGAGATGCTCACGTGCCAGTTGTTTTGGGTATCTATCCCAAATGTTTGTTTCAATGGCTCAATTCAATCAAATGTTTGAGGAAAGGATGCCTTGACTCTAGAGGCGGGTTTCGGAAGCTAGCTTGTGGGGAAAGGAGCTTGAAAACACCATCTTAAGAAAGGCACTTCTCTCATAGGAGAAAACTAGGATCACTGTAATACACACGCACACACATACCCTCCTTCATCCACCCCTCAAAGTAGAGAGTTAGGATTAGCAAGGTTCAATTAGTAACTAAAATTGAGAACAGTCACGGCTTAATTCATCCTTACAAGATTATTCAGATATATAGCAACTTTTATCCTAAAGGGATAAATAAAATACCTCACATGTGGAAGGGGACAAAAGTCTAGTATTAATATTTATTTCATTTCTATACCACCCAACAACCAAAGCTCTCCAATATTATTGCCAATGTTAGCAGTTATCCACTGCAAAGAAGATGGCCTTTTCTGTTGTGGCCCCCTGGCTATGGAATGAACTTTCAAGAGGCTTGCCTGGCATCTGCATTGTAGTCTTTCCAGCACCATGTGAAACTCCTTATTTTCCTAGGAATGTTAGTTTGTTTTAATTCCTGTGTTGTATTTCAAAACTTTGCACTGCTGCTAGGTTTTACTCTGGTTTTTACTTCTATTTTATGCTGTAGTTTAAACCATTTGAAATTTTTATACTTTCAGGCTTTGTTTACTGTTTCTAAATTGTTTTCAATTGTGAAACACTGAGAATGCTTTGGCTATTAGGTCTGATAAAAATGTAATCAATAAATATTAATCAGCTTCCAAAACTTGCAAAGTGCTGAGCAAGGAACATACTCTCCAGAAGTCAAATTAGATGTTTGCTGCCAAAGCAAGTTTAGCATAGATTAGCCCAAGTAATCCCTGCTTTCTGTACTGGCAGAGTATGGAAAACAAAGCCACCCTAAGAGGCATAAGCTTTCATGAGTAACAAAATGAGTGTGTTGCTTTCTTGTGTAGAGAGTTACATACCACATGTTCATCATGGAAGCTAGGAATGAGTCTCGGGAATACAACCTGCAGCAGGTGAGAGGGGACATTTTAGAACTAGTCAATGAGTTACAAAAAACAAAGAATTTATACTGCTACAGCAGAGTGGGGAAAAATGAACTACTGCGAAAGTGTTGCTAAGCATTTAGAGATTTGGGGCACAAGACACACATTTGCATATGCTGATTTATATCTATGCATGCAAATGTAGAAATACTTACTAGAATTTAAACTTCACAGGAGGCATAGGAGACGTTAATTTCTCCGTTTCTCGATCTTCAGTTAACAGACCTCCTCACAGATCATTTCAGCCCAAACCAATAGAAAACGTATTTTCAAAGCCCAACTTCAGTGCAGGGAGAGGTTTATGGAGAAGGGGTGTTCACATAGGCAAGAGGAGAGTTAAACCTTTCTTCCCCAGCTGCAATTCCAGTCCCCTGCAGGGAAATTAATTATACCTAGGGAAAAAACCCTCCACTCAAGAGACTCAGTGGTCTAGGAAACAGAACCAAGTCCATAGGCTGAGGTCCAAGTCTAGGAATGCCCCTGAACTGGAGTACTTGAGTTCACAAGATGCAATATCCTTTCATAGAAATTGGATAGCAGCTATTTCATAATCCTCTTAATAGTTTCACCCACAGGCTAACAATCACCACTAGGAACCACTGCTCCTGCTACTCACGGCCATGAAGTCTTTGGTGCAATTTGTAGCACTGGCGAAACGACCACGGCGAGCGGCTTCATCAGCCTGGAGAGCATCACAGGCAACGTCATAAGTCACATTCTGGATATCACTCGTCACTGTATCGTTGAATTGCAGCCTAAATCTCAGGTGGTGCTTGTGATTCTGTTGGCAGAAACATGACCAAACACATGAAATTATACCATTGTGGGTTTGCTTGGAGAAGTTTAAGAACATAGGAACCTGCCTTCTAAGACCTTTGATGCACTGAGGTCAGTACTGTAAACTATGACTGGGTTCCCATGACATGACAACCCAACATGGGTTGCTCTCTACTGGGGATTCTCCTATCGTGCGAACCCAAACTATTTCCTGCAAGATGGCTGGTCTGAAGGCCTCAAGCCACCCAGACAGCCCTTGAGTTACAGTAGGAGTTGCTGTCTCCACAGTGGGTTGGATGAGTCCCCACCACAAGCACAGGGAATCAGCTAACAACTTGCCTGGCAAGAGTCAATCTGGTTGTGCCAAATGCTCCCAAGTGCCCGAGCAGCACCTGAAAATGGGGGAAACGAGTGTCACCTGCTCTACACATGAAGCCATTTTAAGCTTGCTGCAGAAGTACTAATTGATTTGCAGCAGATCAGCAAAGATTCCTGACTCCAATTGTTTTCCAGCAGAACTACCAAATTAAACCACCTGTTAGTCCTAAAGTATATGGCTGAGATTAAGCAAATTTGGGGTAGCCAGGAGTGGAAGGGCAGCTTCAAGAGAGTTGCAAGATGTCTGTCTGCATAGGATTGTGCCCTGTGTGGGTTTTTTTTTTTAATTGGGATCTGGTTGATTGAGCTCAAGGAAATTAAAAACAAATGAAGTAGATCCTACAAGCCTGGACACCATTGAACTAGACTATCCAGGCTTTGAAGACAAGGGACAGTTTTTTTTATCAGGTAGGTTATCTATAGAGAATTTCCAGGGCAGCTAACAGGAAACACAAACAGCTGCTATAAACCATTGACCGTAAGTAAAGCTTCCATGTACAGCAGTATTAAACCTTTTTCTCTGATTTTGTTTGATCCTGGAAAGTTTTTTTTTCTCGTTAAGGAATGTAACACTCGGGCTTTTAGATTATATTTTTAACCACCAGTCCCTGTAGCAACATGTACAGTGGAAAATGTTAAGATAACCTAGTAATAAAAACATGGCTAAAAACAGCACTTTTTGAATTAGCCCCAAAGGTATTTCCATTTCCAAAAGCATAATCACAAATTACCTCCAGTGTTGTGCAGTTCATGTACAGAACAGTTAATGTTTGTTTCTCATTGTCCACTTTATAGTCACAGTCTTCAATTCTTTCCCCGCTGGCATCTAAAAGAAAATTATGTAAATCAGTATGTAAATATGTAAAGCAAGTCAGCTGGAGACCAAAAGCAATTGAACATGCAGTAGCGTGTGATCCGTACAGCTGATTCCATGCAGTAGTCCTGAACCTCAGGGCTGATATTCACCAATGGGGCATCACACAAAATTTATTCGAAACATTTGTATGCCACTCAATTGTGCCAAAGCAGCATACAAATGTCTGCAGCAGCAAATCAGCCTAGTGTCAACACATGGATTTGCAGGGATATGTCAGGACCCTCTAGGGACAATGCTGGTCACCAGAACACCATTTTGTTCTTATTTCTGGAAACATTTCATTGTCCAGGACACTCCAGACATGTGCACAGTTAAATAGGCCCATTTTATTCATCTTTTCCTGCTGCAAAACGGAGCTTATCTACTGAAATGCTAAGCATCAGGGCAGCAAAAGCAAGAACCACTTTGTTTCTGTACTCGTGCTGGTGCACTGGCTTAAATGAATTTAAAATGCTGAACTGCACATGCCCAAGGTAGTTATTAAAGGTTCGCGAACAGGGTTGGGGGCTTTTTTGTTGTTCTGATTTATCAGGAATGCAGAATTCACTGGAATGGTAATTGTGAAGTGGGGGAGAAGAAAATGTTTGTTGTGCAGTACTTCAGCTATAAAGCACACAAGCCATCTCAAAGCTCTCAGAAGACCACTAAGTAAAGACCACTAAGTCCAGCGACATGACATACCAAGAAGTTCCAGTTGCCAGAAAGTCAAGTTGCTTAATTCCTCTGGAAGTTCAACCTGTAGTTGATCATCCTGGCAAACTGTTGTTCCTGTCAACAAGCCAGGCTTGAATTAATATCAACTTGCAAGTCAACAATAGAAAGCACCAAATTTGCATCCCATAGTTTCATCCCAGTTATGATAAAAGCCTGTATGCTCAAGGCAAACTCAGGAAGAACCCTACACATTGCAGAAGGCAAGGGGTCAGTGAGATAATGAAGAACCGAAGCACAGCAGACCCGTTTTGGTCTTTCCTGTACCGGGGCCACCACCAAAGGATATCGAAGTGACTGTAGTACATGTTGCACAGGTAAGCGTTAAACAGTTGGAGCATTTTAGTTTGGCCCCCCCACAGGTGCCATAACGAGCCAGCACCCCCCTCCCCGCACTTCCTCCCTCTGTCTGACCCAGAGTTGCTGGCCAAGCATTTTTGGAGGCCCCTACAGTTAATTGTGTTTGGAAATTAACTTTGGCTTTGCTGTGTCATGATACTTGGGGATGACGTGAGAAATTGCTTTATACTTCTAGAGACCACCAGGCTGGGGAAGGCTCAAGGACAGAGACCAGCTGTGTTAAGTGTCTGCAAGATCCAGCTTTAATCTTCTAGAAGACAAAACTAACCTTCAACCAAAAGGGGAATTGTTTCAAATGTCACCACATCCAAGACTTCACAGCTGAGCTATAACTGAAAGCAGGACAACACCGGATGCAAGCTTTAGGCAAATTCTGTTCAGGATGCAGGTGTGGAGAGGCCAGATTAATAAGACCTTACAAATGAATCAGCTGTTTCAAACAAACTTATATCTGCAAGACTTTTAAGGTTGACTTCAGTTGGGAAGTTTGAAGACCAACCTAGCCTGCAGTTTGAATTTTGTTCTGGGGGCTATATTCTAGTGATAGGTGGAGCTGAAGACAAAGGGTCAAAAGACCAGCATTATTTAACTTATAGTTCCTACTCCTTGAAAGAAAGCCTAAGGAAGGCTATTCTACTCTTTTAGAAAGGAAAAGAAACTGCACAAAAGGCAGGAAGGCACCAAACAATTGACCATTGGGTGAAAGAGGTTGGACTAGTAGAAAGCTGCATGGTAACCGGAGGGACATCATGAAGGCCAGATTAACCTCCAGTCCTGCATCCCTGGTTCTAAATAGGCCCAATGATCAGCTCCTTTTGTCTCCAAGGTGAAACATTAGGCAGGGCAATAAAAACAGAGAAACAAAGGGAGTCAGAAGGGGCCTCCTGGACCATATAGCCTGACCCCAGGTTCCAGTCAGCTTCACTCATGTCATCCCCAATGTGTGGTTGTCCAATCTACCCTTCTACACCCTCACTGATGGGGCCTCAACCACCGCGTTTGGAAGCCCATTCCATATTTATTTATTTTCTATTTATATCCTGCCCATTTCCTACAAAGGGCTCAAGGCAGCTTACATCATCTCTCCTCCATCTTATCCCCACAACAACAACCCTGTGAGGCAGGTTGGGCTGAGAGTCTGTGACTGGCCCAAAGTCACCCAGTTGGCTCCATGGCTGAGTGGGGACTAGAACCCAGATCGTCCGAGTCCCAGTCTCATGCTCTTAACCACCACACCACACCAGCTCTCCCAGAAGTCCTAACCATCAAGAAGTACTTCCCGACATCCAACCTGAAGCCAGGTTCCTTGAGTTTTGCCTTGCTGGAATGCATCCTGCCCTTCACTGCAGGAAAGAACAGGTCACAGCCCTCCTCCACATCACATCCCCTAAGTCACTAATAGACCTCCTCAGAGTCTCCTCTTCTCCAGGCTGAAAAGACCCAGTTCTTCAATTCTCCTCAGCTGGACAGGAAGGAATTTGTAGACTTTTGACTTCAGGGGTAATTTTAGCAATAACCTCTTTAAAGTTATTTAAAGGCACACATGCCCAATGGGGATGCCAGTACACCACTGAATTGCAGGCATCCTATGCAAAGCGGAAAATGCACAGAGGCAAACAGTGCCCACCTGCTCCTTCCCTCCAGCAAGCCTGTCTACCTGCAGCGCTTGAGGAGGAGGAAAGGATGCTGGAGGGCTGCATAGATACAACATGCCTGGGCAGTGCCCACCTTCTCTCCAGAATGCCCTCTCCTTTACCCCTTCCTTGAAATTGGTTTTATGACCTTGGAGAAGCACCTGACTCAGTTATTTCCATGTTGGCTATAAGGCAGAGGGGGAGACTCAAGGTGGGCCCCCTCTTGGAACTCTGACCTTGACCTGGGAATTTGAGCAACATCATAGCCCCCAGACCCTGTCTAAGCAGGACAATCACTCTCCTGCCCTTACTGAAGGTTGATTTGATTTAAACCAATCCATTTACAAGTATAGTCAAGGCGATTCTCACACTGACTCTTCTTTAACCAAGTTTCACCTAATAACATCTGTTGCAGCAAAGGAATCAAGTTCATTCATTTTTAGAGTATATTTTGCAATATACAGACTCATTCTATAACATATTGGAGAAGTTATTGTCTTTTTAGAACCCATCATACTTCAGTGCAAACTTCCAACTGAACCATTTAGAACTTTTGGAGACAAGGTATTTGGAGGAGAGCTATAAAGCATTCCAGTTCCCAGAGCCCACACAGGCAACATTTTCACAGTAAAATAATCACCAGATTTCAATCCATTCTGCAAGGAAACCTTGGACTTCATCTGCCTCCCAAACTGACCTTATGTTACAGGAGGAATTGCTTTCTATCCTCACACAGCAGGTGGGGGAAAGAACATGCAGCTAGCAAGAAAAGTTAATAAGCGTTTGTCAAGAGCAAGTTTTTTCCTTAGTGGCTAAGTGCAGCACATTTCCAAGAACCCAGCTGTGTACATTGAATCAATCAATGAATGAATGAATGAATGAAAGAAAGAAAGAAGGAAAGAAGGCCTAAAAGGTGCAGGGCATTGCTTTTGTAATGTTACTGCTAGCCATTTGAAGGGTTTAAACAGTAAAGCAGCAGGAATATCCCCTGCTCTGCTTTAAAAATGAATCCAGGTGTGTGTTCTGAAAGTTATAGGAAAGCAGCTACCTCACATTACTGGCATTGACCCATGGCACCCAAACATTACTAAGGAGAATCCTAGATGGAAAAGAACTATTCAAAATTAACTCAGTAGCACTCCGCTTACAATATGCAGAACTACTGCACTAATTGTACTTTATTTCCAAACAGAGAACTAGCTCCTTTCCAGTCTCTTCAAAACTGCAGCGTGATCAATGCAGAATCCTCTCCAGGAGAGAGGAGCTGGAGAAGACCAGCCAGACTCATTTGCAATACCCCTCAGAGAAGAAAAACAGGGAGAGTTTTTTCTATTTACGGAGCCCCCAAGCAGGCAAGATGCTCAGTTACCTGGGAAATCTACAGCCACAGAATTTAAAACGTTTCCAAGCAGGCAGCAAAACAAGAAAAACAGCCTGAAAACGAGAAACGAAAAAGAAACACCATCACTTAAGAGTCAACATCACAGCCCCTTCTGCTATAGCAGCTAAGAAGAGCAATTTACCGCATGTTACAACATCCACAATTCCCTGACAACCAGCACAAACCAAACCAATTCGGACACGTCGGAAGGAAGCCGAGGCAGTTTTTATACTAAGCGCTTTAGCGTCCTTCCCCACCGCGCAAGCGCAACGCCCATCCTGCGCTAGGACGTTCCCACGGTCTCCTCCTAGGGCGCTGCGGAACGATCCGCATTGGAAACGTGGCAGGTGTTTACACGCACGGACTCGGAGTGCTATGCGTAGGCTCGCGCTGCAAGACAGGCTGGCAACTGCGCGGTCCCGATCCTAGGCAAGCTTGCTCGGAAACGTTTCTACCTCCCCAGCTGCAAGTGGGGAATTGCCTCCGAGCAAGCATGCCTACAAGGATCCGAGCAAAATAGAAGGAGTCCAGCCCGATCGTCTGCACGTTTACTCGGGAGTAAGTTCCGCGATGCTCAGTCGAGGGCGCTTTATTCTCTTAAGGAGGGCTAATGTACAAGTTAATGGCATAGCGTGTGATGGAGGAGAAACTTTTTTCTTCTCGTGTAAGGAAGTGTGCGTGGCCCCAATTCGGATCGAGATCGCTGCCCACAAAAAGCGGGCAATTAATTTTTCTTCTCTCTAGTTTCCCCACGCCCCAAAATCCGCCTCCTTCCGGAGGTGGTGGTATAAGGCTCGGGTAAGTGCATAGGATCGCAGGCTTACATGGGAGTAAGGACGTGTTTCCGAGGAAGCATGCGTAGGATCGGGCTTCGGCCAGAATGACTAATACCAAATCATAGCAAACAAAATAGAAGTGCTTTGTGGATCTCTCTCTTCTCGCCCCTCTTCCATTTCCTTTTCCCCATTGATTTGCCCATACCGGGAATGCTGAGTAGCAACATTCAGGAAAACCGTGTTTCATTTCCTCCATCTTTAAGTCCTTTCTGAAAAATCAGTGCTCATGGAGAGACAAAATGGTACTTTATTTAACACATTTATATCCAGCCCTTCATCCATGATAGGATAAATTGAAAGGTGAAAGAACCATGTCTAACAACATGCCCTGCAAGACAATGGCTCAGATTCAGGGGAAGGAGGAATTTGAACCCTGCTTCCAGAATCCTAACTCACTACCCCCCCCCCCCGTTGGCTCTCCAGCTTTTTACATTAGACGGTCCTAATTTATGAATACTTACATTTAAGCACTGCCTCTCTTTGTACTGTCTAGCAACTTGAGAGAAGCAGTGCTGTTTAGTGGTTAGAGCACCCTTCCCCCAACTGAGTGCTTCCCGATAAGTTGGGTATCCTAGCTTGGAAGAATGGGAAGTATTGTTAAATGCAGCTAAACAGCACCAGGTTTGGGGATGTTGGATTGTTGATCTTGGAGTAGGAATAGTTGGCTGAGAGGAGATTTGAAGCCGGCTTCTCTTTTTTCTTACAGGGGTTTTGAGAGGACAAAGACAGGACAATCCATAGGTACAACAATCTTGAGCTCTTGCAATAAAAGGTGAAGTTGAAATGTGACTCTATTTATTGCCTTCCTTAAATATCACTCTTTCCCCAAGAAGCTCAGGGTTATCTACATGACATTTCTACCACGCATCCTCACAACCTGCGGCAGGGTAACTTAACTTAAAACTCGCAACTATTCCAAATGAGCTGCATGGCCAGCTGAGGATTTGAACCAGGCTTAGGTGGAGATGCAAAGAGAGAGAGATCTCCTGCACCTTTGTATTGAACAGGTGTGGGGAGGGGGGGAAGAAAGTTTGCCACAACTCTTGAACTTCAACTCTCAGAAAACCTTGCCAGGTAGAGGCAGTGCTGAAAAGTGCTAGAAATTGAAATCCAAAACTCCTGGAGATCTTCCTTCTGCCACCCCTGGTGTCGGAGAGGAAATTTCACCATATATTGCTTGTCACTGCTGAAGTTCCCTCTTCTGCCTAACTATGAAAGGTGCAGGTGTGCTGTCATCTTTTGTCTGGCCACCACAATCATGCTGTCTTCTTAATCTAATATGATAATAATCAGGTCCCTGGTCTGATAAAATAAAAACAGTGGGCACCCTTCCTTTAACCACAGTGACTTTACCAAAACTGTAAGGTACGTAGAAAGCAGTTAGCAGAATGGAGACAGGAAAGGCTACACTGCCTCAGTCTCTGTTTATCTCACAGCTGAAGCCATAGCTGCTAAAGGAAAACTGAGTAGAAAGAGTTAAACAGCCATTGCGCTTACAGATACACTATGAACAACAAATGTAATCAGCTTATTAAGGGTGGAAACGACTTCCTGTCTTATGCAGTTCTCACCAGTATTCTATATTTTAGCCTTTATTCGGGGAGCAACCAAGTCATACTCCTAAGGGAGAAGTGATATTTCCCTTTCACAAGTTCAGTTCCATTTATTGCCTCTTCCTATCTTCTGTCAACAGGTTCAGTTTCATTTCTTGTCTTTTTGTTTCCTATTTTGCTTTTGAAAAGGAAACATTGTCAAGGCAATGTAAACAATTCCAGTTCCAAAATCCCAAATTCACAAATTTGAGGATATCTTCCAGCATCCTCTTATAAAGTGGGATCCTCAGTTTTTGGCTTATTTTGCACACAAGAGAGAGCAAAACATTTGAAATGATAACTAATTGGCATACTTTGGTTAGTTTCTTCCATGAGAATGCTTGCGGAAAGAATGGATGAGACAACAGACCAACATCGTTAGAAGCCTGAATAATAAAAATACAAAAACAAATGATAATGTGAGTTAAATCAAGATATAGTCATACTTAGAGGGGACCTATTGAAACCAATGGAAGTCAAAGTAGTCCCGTCTATTAACATGGGTCTATTTTAGGTATGACTAAATCTGGATGCAAACCTTCAACTGATTCTGTCATAGGTAGCAATTCTTAAACTTATTACCAGGGAGTAAGCTGCATGGAACTCAATGGTTACTCACTTCTGAGTAGATATCCATAGGATTGTGCTGTTAAGATCACTTCAGCTGCTTAGAACTTTGCAGAAATTGGTTTGTTTGTTCGTTTTTTAGGACTGTAGAGCTGAAAAGACACTGGGAGGCTGGACCTGCTACCTTCTAGAAAGATCAGTGTGAGAAGGCGGAGACCAGGCTGGGCTCAGCCAACAACCAGAAAGAGCAGCTGCAGGGATAGTCCCTTGCCAGAATGAATGAGAAACCTTTTACAACTTAGAAAGAGTGCCAAAGCTTGCTTTTTTTGCCCTGCTCCATGTTCCTCTTGTATTATGCTTTTTAGATTTAAGCCAGCATCAGAGGGTGTCATTATTAAAGTATTCTGGGAGACTTTCTTAGCTTCTGCATCCAATACACTTAAAATAAATATAATCATGAACTAGTCCTAGATTTCAGTGTTCAGTCTGAAGGCACGTAGAACCTGAAAGGGCCCTTGTGGACTTCATTTTGCTCAGTAGAAGAGCTACAACCTCCCCGCCAAATAGGTCTTCACCTACCCATTAATCCCCAAACTGTTCTTGCTCCAGGCAAGGAAATTTAGGACACCCCTGAAAAGGACAAACAGGCCAATCATTTATTGGAGACAAGGAAACGGCAATGATTCTGTAAATACAGAAATGTGGAACATACATACCAAATAATAAAACCATATCTTGGCGGGGGAGGAATCCTCCTCCTTCCTTTTCTTTAGAACTAAGCACTCAGAAACTCTGGAGTTGTCTAGGCAATTGAGAATCAAAACCTGGTGAGTCATCGGTCTAAGTTTCAAAATAACAAGCCCATGATAATCTCCAAGCTCCTCTCTGCTAACAAAGCTAGGCTACAGTCTTGCTTCACAGGGAATAAAAATCAAGAAACACAGTGGTATGTATTTCTGAGGAAATCTACATAGGAGCTCTGTCAGGATGAGAATCTGAGAATATAATTAGTTTAAAAGCACAGTTTCAACCATCTTCCACTGATTTATCCTCACAAATCCACTTCTCCCTGAAGGCTTGGCTTACCCATTTCAGCATGAAATGACTTGAGTCTTAGAACATCTTTTTACTGAAGGAAAGAAAAGGTCCATTATGGTCACTCAAAACTTCACCATTTAGAGAGAGAGAGGCTTCAATTCAAATACCACTTCTTTCGTACAGCTTTGTGTGGACCCAAATAGGAAGACTAATAAACTTCTGCAACATAATTTGTGGTGTTGGTTTGATCTTTTCTAAACTGCCTGACAGACAACACAATGTAATTAATTGAATCCTTCTTGTTTCTTCTCATTGTTGGCTTTGTTAACATGGGCAACAACAACACAAATAAGGATTTTTGAATTAATTCCTACAGTTGCTGGTCACTCAGGGTATTTAAGTGTAACATAGGATGTAATCCAACACAATTTCCATTTTATTTTGGTGGCTGAGAAGTGCACCATTTGCTTGCTGCAAGACTTAGGGTATCAAGACAGCTTTTTTTCTTTCCAAAGGGAGCCAATGTGATGCTGTGGTTAGAATTTGGACTGGACTCAGGAGATCCACTTTCCTCACTTGGCCATGAAACTCAACAGCAAACTCTGAGTCTGACCTACCTCACAGGGTTGTTGTGAGGTAAAAAATGGAGACGAGGAGGCATTGCTTATAAGGGGGAAAAAGGGTGAGATATCAATGTAATAATAAAGCAGCCTACACAGTCATTCAAGTTTTTTTTTCTGCCAGGTTTAACCCCCAGAACTTCTGTACAGTGACAAAAATCAGTATTGTGATGGGATATAACCCAACATAGTGATCTAACAAGGGTGGTCTTTTTCACCCGGGTGTCTTCCAATTGTATTGGGCTGCAGCTTCCATCATCCCCAGCCATCATGGCCAATGCCTGCGGGAGACTGGACTGGTAGGGTTGGGAAGGCTGAGTCTAGAGCAGACATGGGGGACCTCTTTCAGTCTGAGTGGGGCATTTCATCTTGGAGAAGTTCTTGCGGCTGCCTTCCATCACTAGGTGGGGCTGAAGACAATAGGAACAGGGCCAAAAGAACAAAAACTATGTTGAAACTTAAAGCTCTTGTTGCTAGTAACTGAGTCTTAGGGGAGCTTTGGAATGGGGAAAATACACTAATGCCAGGAAATCACAAACCATCAGTGGCTGGGGACAAAGGGGAACCAACTGGGGATGCCATTTGGACAGGGCAGCAGGCCAGATCTGACCCCTTGGCCAGAGGTTCTCCATCCATGGCCTGGCGTACTGGTGCTCCTACATGCAGCCAGAATTTCAGGGTCACACAGAACTGAATTAACTTTTGATTAGTGTCCTTGAAGTACACCAACCATTGCCAATAGGATTGTGATGTGGGATATGAAGCCACGTGCCCAATGGTGGCTCGTGAAAGTCAAGAAATTACCATACTTAGGTGAACTAAACATTCAGGAGTGGACTCATTCTCCAGGTATGGGTTCTTACATAATAGGAACAGAAACTGAATAAATACGTACTCAAAATGACACCATCCACACAATCACCAGACTTATGACAACCTCAAAAAAGAAAAGGGAAGACAGCAAGGCTGGCTAGAACTGTGAACGGGAGCGATCTCCTGCAACATTTTGTTGCCAGCCAAAAGAGCTGAACCAGGACCTGGTGAAAAGCAACCGATTAGTACCCCTGTTTTACAGATCAGGAACAGTGAGGCTTCGAGATAAGCAATTAGCACAAGGCTAGTTGGCTTGCAACTTGGCTTGCTCTCATTAAAACTACTGGGGGTCAAATAAGAATGGAAATCAACTGCAAATCACCAGAGAAATTTGGGAAGTAACTCACTGCTGTTGCATTTAGCCACCGTGTTTCTGTCTCTCCTCAAAATTGTGATTGCAGCAGCTGCTTTGTCTCTACAATTATGACTAGACAAAGGGTCAGTGTGTCAGATATGAACTGTAGCTAATGACTATGTGCAGGAAATAATTAAAAACCAGATGAATGCCATCCAACCTTTATCAAAACAAAAGACAATCCCAATAGAAATATAAAGTTGTGCTATACCTTTTAATTCTTAAAAGGACTTTACTGCAAAGGTTAGTATTTTAATGGAACTGGTGTCAATATTTCATATTTGGGACCTATATAGGGACCAATATTCTCATATCTCAGGGGAACAAGTCCCCTCAAGTTGTCATTGGACTGCAACCCCCATTAACCAGAGCCAACATAGCCAATAGTGAGGGGTGATGGGAACTGTAGTCCAGCAACATGAGCACCACCTTCTCCTTACTCCTGCTGAATCCAGTTGATCACCTAATTAATCTCTGAAGGGGGACAAAGGGGGTGGGGGGGTTGAATCTTGATATGTCCTTTAAATCCTAATATTAAGCAAAAATGTACTGGTTTTCTGTGACAGAACCAAAAGCTGTGACAGAAGCTCAGAAGCCCCTAAGTGATGAAAACACAATAGGATTGTTCCCAAAGTCTCTTAATGGAGATACCAGAATTTAATCTAAGAGCATATACCTTTGCTCAGAGAAGATCCTGAGTTCAAACCATCATTATCTCCAGTTAAAAGTACAACGTACAACGCAGTGTCTTCCAGACATAGTCCTCCTACCTTTTGACTTTACCAATTTTGTTTATTTAACTTTTTGCCACAATAAAAGCATCTTGCCCTGTCATTGTTGAGTATCTTGTATAGATCAGTTTTGTTGTGTTGCAACCTGGAACTGAAATGGATTTCATTGGCATCGTTGATGTCCTAAACATCTATTTATAATATATAAATTTATAGTCAGTCTTGTTGATTCGTGTAATGTAAGATGTTCCCATGCAAATAGAGTCCCAGGAGTGACCTTTGCTTCCTCATTTCTGCCTTGTAGAAGCTGCTGCTGCTGTCTGAGATTATTAATTAACTTTCCACTCCTTCAGGAGTGAGCAGCCTTTGAAATCGACTGCTACACAGTGTGTGATTCTTTCTCATCCAGACAATACCAAGGGGGAAAATGTCCACCCGGTACCACCAGGCAGCTGCTGATGGCAATCTGGAATTACTGAAAGAAGCAACCAGAAAAGATCTTAACTCTTCGGATGTGGACGGGATGACACCTGCTCAGGTGGTAGCTTATCATGGCAACCTAGAAGCTCTCGAAATTATTTGCAGACGAGGGTAAGTCCAGTAGGCTGAGATATGTACCATAATGCTTTTGCAGCCAAAAATAGACTAGTCATGGTGCTCATGGAATGAAAATGTGCCATTAATTAATCTTGTAAATGTTCTGATTTTAGAACTGTTCTGACATTGGCAGGAATAAGGAAAATCTAGGTAGAAATAACCAAGATTGCTTTTACATGATAAATATAACTCTTATATTGATTAGACTTTGCCCTCGTAAGGAATAGAATAGTAGTGTTGGAAAGAGCCTATAAGGCCCTTTAGTCATATTGGTTCACCAAGGCCCTTGGTTCATATAGGGTCCATATTTCTTCTCAAAGGGGTCTCCCCTCTTCATGAATCCATGTTTTGAAAGTTATCCCATCTGTTGATGGAAACAAAATAAGTTTGGTAAGAATCTGTATACCGCAGCCCATCTGCCTGCTTTCTTTCCTTCCACATTCTGAAGAGTCAATTGAATACTACACAAGCAAAGGAAAAGATTGTGGGTCAAAAGAATTCAGAACACTTAAAAGTTTCTCTGGATGTATAAAGAAAATTGATTTGCTTATATTTTGGGAAACTGTTTTAACCATAGTCTTTTTTTTTTCTTGGAAGCAGCTATAACTGAAATGAGAGAAGGTTTCTTATCCTGAAATTGCCCTGCCTCTTTCAATGAATATTACTGTGTTTCCCAACCCTGTCATTTTATACTTGTAACCCTCCTTTATTACCCCACAGATTTTTCTAACCTTTTCCCTTATCCTCCCACAAAAACCAACCAACCAAACACAAGACACAAAACACAAGGAGGGAAAGAAAGAATAGCTGCACAGAGCCTGTGGAAAGATAGATTTAGGAGCTTTGCATGTGGAAGAATCCCCAGTTAAGAAATAACAGTTAACTTCTGCAATGTATGAGTTTTATCTTATCCTAGTTGGGCTCATACAATATTCTTTCCCTTCTACTGCATTCCAGCCTGCATTTATGTGTTTTCAGCCAAATCTGGTTGAAAACTCTGCCAGGGTTTGAACTGGTCTTCAGCAGATCTTCCGTCATCAGAAGGTTTTACAGAGATGGGTTGTCTGAGTGGGGATTGAATGGCGATTCAGTTCCATGCTGAATCATTCAGAATCAGGGAGAAAAATCAATATGGAGTGGAAAACCAAGGTCCTGCCATGAGGAAGATGACTGCCTCCAATAACTGGTGGGCCCATGGTTTTGACCATGTTGCAGGACAGAATCATGTGCCCCCTTAAATTACCCTGCTGCCCTCTGATGTGATGGAAGATGCTGTTCCATCAACACTGTTGAAGCAGGATTCAGCTGACTATCTATGGTCAGCTGTTGGGGGCAGAATGGGGAGTCCCCCCTCTTCAGCTCCTGGGCAACCCCTGTAAAAAAATGATGGGGAACCCATAACTGCATCCACTGTTGGTTTTTTTGTTTGTGAGGTACCATGCTTTGGCTGCTAGCAAATCCATTTAAAACACCACTCTGAGCAAAATTTCTTTATTTTCTTTTCTGAGCTGTCCCACAGCTGATGTAAAATGCACTGTTTGTGGTGTGGTGGAAGGGAAATGAAGGGACTGAAACAGAGGTGAGGCTGAATCATACTGAAAAAGAAGACCCATGGAAATGGGGGACTATGAATTTCTATCTGGGGCCCTTGCAAAGCAAAGCAGCTCCTGTCTCAAGGAATGACCAGAATTCTTAGCATTTTCATTTATTTATTTTATGTATTTAAAACATTTCTATGCCGCCCCCATTGCAACAAAGCCTCAGGGTGGCTCACAAAGAATACATAAAAACATACATAAATAATAGTAATATAACAATTTAAAAGAAAAAAACATTTAAAAACCCCCGGTGCATTCTCGGCTAATTTTAAAATCCTAATTAATTCAATAATTTAACAATTAAAATAAGTTTTAAATAAAAAGGTCTTAGCCTGGCGCCGAAAAACAAATAGCAACGGCGCCAGGCGGACCTCTCTGGGTTTAAGGAGAAATGGTGCATAAAAGTGGAAAATGACATAATGAGGTTCATCCCCAACCATGAGAAACTAAACATGGTACAAAGGGATGTGTGAAGTGGAATAGTCAATGCTTGCATGTGGCCCATACGTGCAAAAATCCTTCCATGTGGTGCGTCCCACCTTGTCCACAAACCCACAAGTCTGTGTAGGGGGTCAAAGAAGGGCCTTTCAACAACTCACTTGACCCAGACACGATACACCCTCTGGGCAGCCCTGAAGAAAAACATGAGGGGGAAAGTCTTTGGAAGTTAAAACAATCATTAGATCAGAATACTGTTTTTTCTTTTCTGGTGTTTAGGTGTGGTGTGCAGTTTCATATGCTGTATTTTATTGCCTGTAAAAGTGACCTTTACACAGGCAATGTAAAGTATAATTGCTTATCCTGCAGTTACAGCCTCCTTCCCCAGTGAGAAAATCAATCCTAGACAGCTAGCAAAGAAACATCAAGCCTGGTTCTTCCCACCGAGGCAGTGAACAGGCAAGGGTGGGCATGATCACACAGCAGCAAACAACTCACAACCCAACATTGGGCCTGCTGACAAAAATCCTTTCAGATACTTGGAAGGCTTCCTCTTTATGTTCCCTAATTTTTCACAGAGCCTGTCTAAGAAGCAGTACAGGTGTGCCCTGAGAGAGAGAAAAGCTAAAGAGCAATATAAACATTAAAACATTTAAAAGGAGTCCCATGTTGCTTGATGAAAGACTTTTCTGGATTTCATAAGCTTGCAATTATGAACCACGCATTTTATTCCTGTACAGAAACTAATATATTTTAGGCACTTTTTGTTAATAAAACAATGAGGATTGTAACCCTGTTTCAGCATACATAGGAGAAATCACTGTCTTTAGCAAGTGTGTTTTATTCTGAGTGGGCCCTGATTTTCCCTGCCTGTCTGCTCAAGGGGAGGAAGCAAAGTACCCACAGCTGTGTCTCCACAACTGTGCAGACATTTAAAATAATCACACTTTTCATGGGACTGGGGGAAAAAAACACTTTAAAGAGTCCCAGTCTATTTCTCTCTCATTCCCTCATGTAGCTGCATTAATCTGTTGCAGCAAAAACAACCAAACATGCAGTGAGGCCTTGTAGACAAGCAAATGTATCCATTTTTGTGACCTACAATCAGCTAGGGGCTAGCAATTTGAAAATTTTAAGATTAAACCGAGGCCCTCAGTCTCTAGTGTGTCCCAACCTCTCTGCCTTAATCCCAAAGGCCTACTTCAGTTAAACCGCCACGTCAGAGGGAAGTAATTGCCTGAGGCACAGTGTCATAAAAGGTTGCCAATACTTGTCTATTAACGTATGTTATCGTTGCATATTTAGTCTCAAAGAGGAAAAGATGTTCTTGTGGGATTTTCTGGTGCTGGTGCCAAAATAACTTGACCAGCTTTCTGCACGCCTTATATCAAGACATGATGGGGATTCGTGTCATATACAAGCAGCAAAAGAGCAGCCCTTGTGAATTTTATCTTAGCTCTATTTTTGCTTTAACATAGCTGTGAGCAGTGGAGAGGTGAGCATCCAAATTTTATCAAAGCAGTAGGGAAGAATACTGAAATGTTTCCTCAGGAGTTGATTTTTGCTCTTAAAATTGCTCTCCAGAGAGTGAGAGAGAGAGTAGTGAGGGAGAAAAAAATCTGCATTCAACTCAGGTGTTTTGTTGTCCAGGATTCAGAGCCACTAATGAATCCAGGGTTGGTAAGAACCCTGTGGTAAGAACTCCATTTTCCCCAGCTGGTTCCACAAAAGAAGTCAGGCTTTTGGAGTTTTAAAATAGGAACACTTGAAAAAGCAGACTTGCCCTTGCATTTGAAACTTGCCACCACTCCTTTCGCCATGTGTCCCCTTCTTCCCCTTCCTTCCAAGGAGAGTAGCACAGCCTCACAACATCCCTGTGTGGTAGGTTAGGATGAGAAACCAAGGTTAGCCCATGGGAACATCACGCCAATGGAGTATTTGAATCTTTATCTTCTGCTTGGGGTTCTCTGTTTTTTGACACTGAGAAAATGCAGTACAAGGGAATCAACAAAATGGCCCTTTCTTTATAATGCTTACATACAGCTGGGGCATGAGTGTGAGTTCGTAAAACAACTGCCTTTCTTTGCAGCCTTCCACCAAAAGAAAATACACAATTGAAAAAAGAAAGAAAGAAAGAAAGAAAGAAAAGCTTGCAACTGCTTGGTAATTTGCAGGTAGCCACAGCTTCCAAGTCTCTGGCAATCAGTTGAAAGTTAAATAATGCTTTATTTGTATTGCTATTGTTGTAAAACATCTCAGAAGCAAACAGTTTGAGAACCAAGAAGGACCTGGGAGGAAAAGATGAATTCTGTCAGAATTCAGTATAAAAACAGTATATAGACTATATTACTGAAATGGAATGAGCTTCCTATTACTAACCATGCAAAGGCTACCATGGATACAGGTCTGAAAGCAGCTGAAATCCAAGGTTTGGATGATTTACGTTCAGAAGAAGAAATGCTTAACATAAGTCTGACCATGTTGCTAAAAGAGGAATCATGCCATGAGTCTTGTTCTCTGAAGATATAAATGTAATGAAATGGAATAGCTGTGGAAGGCTGATCAGGAGCTCAGCATGTTGGTAGGTTTGGGGGGCTCTTTATTCTCCCTGAAATGTGGAGATTCCCTCTGTACTTGCTATTTTCCCCAGAAAGGAAGATCAGAGTCAAAAGCAGCCTTACAATTTTGCACTAGCCTGGTAATTGAATAGGGGCCACACACACTTACTTTTGAGTGGAAAATATTTATTTATTATTATTATTTATTATTTTATTAAAACATTTTATGCCGCCCCATTCGCCGAAACTCATCTACAAATAAGGCTCATCTACACACTACACAATTACCATAACAGGTGGTTTGATCCAGAATGGCATGAGAATTAGTGGGAATTAGATGGTAGAGTCCTGAGGCAGCTGAAAGGACCATACCATTTCCAGACTGCAGGTGACTTCTATATGTTCCTGTAGATTGATAGCGCATATACATAATGGCATGTAGAAAAACAGCACACCAAGGAGTATGTTTGCATGATACACCAGATTTTTACTTTCAGGGAAAAATGCAAAAACAGTGCACCCACCTGGAGTTTGAAGTTATACAAGTTGTTCTACCAAATCTGGATTCTGTCACTACATCCTACTGCCTTTGGGTACTTCCAGACAGAGGACTGCTAGAGCTAATATTCCAAAGGCATTGCACAGATATACTTCCCTTTTTCCTTAACGTATTTTTCTGGTATTGAAAAAAAGAGAAGAAGTTGGGGGGAAATCACAGGAAGACTATAAATGGGAGATGGCATCATCCAGCACTTCTGCAAAAATTGTAATGAGGCAGTGTGACTGCATACGGTAAACACTTTGCTTGAAAACACCCTTTATATATAAACTAGGTCCCTGCAGAAGTCCAAGGGAGTCCCAGAGCAAGATTTCCTTGTGGGCAGCCCCTGGCTGGACCCTTGGTGTGCTCTGTCATGGTGCAGAGATTGCAACTGTGATCCTGCAAAAGGTCCTTCAAGGTTGTGGGAACAGATGCTGAGTCAGACAAGGAAGAAGGGCTAGAATCTACAGCTAAGATGCCAAGATGAGTGGACTCTGAAAATAGCTAGGTGGTAGTTGGGAACCTTCCCCAGTGAACCTGGTAATGAGCAAGGGAAGGCAGGCATCACTAATTCCAGGATCCTGCATCAGCGAAAGAAGGGGGACCAGCTGAGAAATGCCGGGACGCACCAAAGCAAGAGGACCTGCCTTTAAGCCAGTTATTGGTAATTTGAGTTTAGAAGGCAGGAGGTATATCCCTCTTGAAATTATCTTCTTACCACTAGGTTGCACTTCTTCATTGGTGAATATTCTAACCATCCTTGTTTGCTTCTTATTGATTTCTGCAGTACATTTATCTGTTGCCCTTCTTTACTGCCCTATAGATAGGCTATCTAGGTGGTTTACAAATTTAAGACATATAAACAACCAGTGAAATAATCATATTTAAATAAAACAATAAGCAATAAAAACCAATATGAGATCAGCAACTCACAGCAGCTAGAATAAAATGGGACATGGCATAGCAGCACTAATTACAAAAACAATATTGAAATAACTCTTATCTATTAAAATAGCTGGAAAATAAAAAGGTTTCCATCTGGTGCCACAAAGAGAACAAAGATGGCGCCAGGAGCATCTCTTTGAGAAGCATGTTCCGAAGACAGGGTGCTGCTACTGAAAAGGCCCTTCTTTTGGTCACCACCCCCTTACTTCTTTTTTTTGGGAGGGGGTAAGGTCCTTAAGAAAGACCTCAGCAGATTATCTTAAGGGCTGGGTAGGAAAATAGGAATATATAATATACTCTCCCTCCTAATAAGTGTAATTTTTTTCCTAACTTATTCTTTTAAGACAAACTGACCGGCTTGTATGAACATAATCAAACTTTGAGTTAGAAAGGCTGGGCCTGCCTGGAAGGAGGAAGAGAACATGGCCTTGACACATGACTCTTCTTTGTGTGAGCTGAGCTCTTCTATCTGTTTTTGTTTTTTTCTCCAGAGGTGATCCAGATAAATGTGACATTTGGGGGAACACCCCTCTGCATCACGCAGCCTCCAATGGCCATGCCCACTGCATTTCCTTCTTAATCAATTTTGGCGCTAATGTCTTTGCCCTGGATAATGACATGCATTCCCCCCTTGACGTGGCTGCCAGCAGGAATCAATTTGAATGTGTCCGAATTCTAGACAACGCTGCTACTGAGAAGCAGGTAAAGAACCCCAAGAGGGTCTCCAGGCTGAAGGCCCAGGCCCAGCGAGATGCAGAAAGGCAGATCCGGGAATGTGAAAGACGCCAACAGAAACACGAACATGAAATGGCTCGAAGTTTCCAAGGGGGATCCGTACATTCTGCAAAGGGAACTGGCAGGAAGGCAAAAGTGTCTAATTTCTTCACACCGGGCTCACTAAACGCATTGCCCAAACATTTGAAAGATACCTTCAAGCTGAAGGCAAAAAAGAAAGAGGAGAGTTTGCACAGTCAAGGAGCAGGGAGCACTGGCCAAGGGAAGGACAGTGCAGCAGGCCGAATGGCTGTGATGGATGTATTCCATGAAAAGGATGAGGAAGAACTAACAAATCACTTTAAAAAAGGAGCCAGGTTTTCCAATGATGACGACGACGACGATGAGCTGGCACAGAGGTCCATTTTCAATCGCCCTGGTCTTGGCAACCTTGTATTCAGAAGCAATTTGTCCACAGGCCAAAGCACTGATGCAGTGTTTCCTGGCAAAGAAGGAGGTACTGTCAAAATACCTGAAGAATTGTTTCAGTTGAAAGAGCCCGAAACTGTTGGTGACCAAGAGGAAGAAAACAATCTTGAAGAATCTTGGATTGAAGAAGAAATTGGATGGGATGATGACAACACGGAGACCACCCCACTCGAGGTCTTTTTAGCATCTCAGAACCTGAATGAATTCCTTCCCATCTTGATGAGCGAAAACATTGATTTAGAAGCTCTCATGCTTTGTTCAGACGATGACCTGCGGAGCATACAGATACAGTTGGGCCCAAGGAAGAAGATTCTCCATGCCATTGGCAGAAGAAAGCAGGTACTGGCAAGCCCTGGGAAGGCCGAAGATACAGAACTATAATTAATGAAGCTATTCTATTGGGGCTCTTTGCATAATGCTCTTGTGTTTTGAAGGAAAGGTCCAAACTTTCTGCACCTTTGGAATGACATAACTGTTTCAGAAACGCGACTCTGGGGTAGATGTTTATCTTTCTTTGCATCAGAGATGGCTCACAGGTGGTAATGGTGGTTCTTCCAGGTGGGTCAGATTTTGGGCTCTGGACTTGATGGTATTACAGGGGGCAAAGCATTTAAGGTGATGATCACTTACTTCAAAATGGGGGTAAGCCACACTGGGGGCCCTTGAGCAGGGTTCTAGACTTCCTGCCCTGAAGGCACCACTGTCTCCAGGTGATCTTGTAGATGGAAAGAGGTCACATGAAGGAATAGAAGCAAATCCACCTCATGCGTATGAACTACCCCCATAGAATGCACCCATTCTACAGCTGAAAACATTCTTAAATTATCTAAATGTGTTACCAAACATGGATATACATATATGTTCTCTTAATTCTTTTTTTTCCTTTTTTGACCTCAGGGAGGATGTTGTTAAATTAAATGTAAGAAAAAAATTCTAATTTTCTAGCATTCTCCTTATGAACCCATCTGGTCCCCAACCCTGGAGGAAGCACACTGTGGAAACGGGCACGCCACCACTTCTCCCATTGCACCCCTAGTTGGGCTTCTCACTGGTATGAGCACTGAGCCATCGGGTCCGCCTCTGAAGGGGAGGGTTGGCCTCCATTAGGAAGATCTCCCGTTTCAGCATCCTCTCCCATGGGCTCTAACTCCCCATTGTTCCCATGGTCAGTATGATTCACCTCCGTGTCCCCCCTTGGGCTAATCTCTTCTACTGCCTCCCTGGACTGAGTCCGAGGACCTTAAGCCACAGCTTCCGGTCACAAAGTCTCGCAAGCAGTTCCATCCTCCAAATCTGAATCATTAAAAAGAGCACCATTCGCCTCCCACAAGCACACCAGAGGCTTGACAGAACGTGTGCCCACAACAGAATCCTTTTTGCATTCACCACGTGAATTTACATTTAGAAGGAGCAATTTGTATTCAACAAGTACTTTCCTCCAAGTAACAAAAAGAGTTTAATCAGAAGAGTGGTGTGCAGTGCCATGTATTACATCTCTGGAGAGGTTCTTGTCCTCTTCTTGTTCTCCCAGCCCTGTTGGTCTAGGTCACGCACTACCATACATTTGTCCCCAAATACACAAGATTCTTCTCATGCCTATTCCTATAGGCTTTTTAGCCCACACATCTGCCAATCAGCTACTGTAAACAGGAATACATCTGGGCCAAAAGTAAATGTCCGTTATATTTTTGCTGAAAAATACAGAAAGTAGTTCTTGCCACCAATTTTTTACCAATACTGATTTATGTTGAGTATTTTGTTTTTGTGTGTGTGTTTAAAAAAGAGTAAGTATATGCTGGCCTTAGAAGAAATGCAGAGTTTTATTGTGTTATAAACACCTTGCAGGCAAAAGACTTGATCACATCATGATTATGATTCTGACTACTTTTGTTCTGCTTAGAAGCAACAGATAACACATGTGGTATGAGAGAAGTAAAGGTTTTAATCTTTTAAAAAGGTGTGGCAAACTTAAACATACACAGATCCTTAGAATTACCACAGAACTTTGATTGGATCTGAAATAAGGCCATCAACAGGCACTTCAAAAGTTGGTTTCAAATAATGGTACTTCTAAGCATTTTTCCAGTTTAAACACTGTGAAAGCAAAGGCATCAAAGTTAATCTTTCTCTGTTAGAGAAAGATGTACCCTCCTAAAGCCACAAAACTCTGTACCTGTTTATATCACGCTGAGCACAATACAAGATTACAATCGCTACCAAATATACAGAAAATATTTGTTATTCTTGTTATACAAATTTGGTTTGCCTATTTCGTTTTGTCTTCAAGAGAAAGCCTAGTTAAAAAGAGCAGGAAAAGATTCTGTGCAGTCCTAATCATGTCTACTCAGAAGTAAACTCTAGTGAGTTCGGTGGGACGTATTCCCAGTTACGTCTGCATACAACTGTGCAACCCTATACATGTTTACCTAAGAAAAAACATCTTGCAGCTGGCTGCATGTCCCAGCCATGCTGGGAGAGACAAGAGTTTTTTCTGTCTGAGTAGGCCTAGGAGAGCACCCTAGTACCGAACAAGGTGCTACAGCGAAAAGACAAATGGGCTGGGGAAGAATAGCGGTCTAAATGTTGCCTCGTTGCATGGCTGCTCAGGGTAGCCACAAATCGCCTTTCAGCTGCCAGCTGACCAGGAATCAAAGACCATCTTTGCTGCCACTGTGTCTTCAATCGCCATTCCTGAAACGAGCAACAGAATTGAAGTCTCAGCCAACAGCATGAAAGAACAGGGTTTTAGAGGACAGAACCGCTGGACTAAGTGGAATCAAGGTTTGCGGGAATCCATTTCTGCTACTGCACTGACATCCTTCAAGAGTTCTGCAGTCCATGCAGAGCATTGGTCCTATTTGCATGTGTGCACGGCATACGTATGTCCAACTTGGTCAATATCATCCTTGCAGACTAGAGCAGTTCTCCTGGGTCTCAGAACAGGGTCTTTCCCAGCCTTACTGGAGAAGTCAGGGATGGAACCTGAAAAGCAGGTTTCTATCCCTGAATGAAGAGGCCTTCCCAAAGGCAGTGGAGGGGAGAGAAATAGATGCAGTGAGAAAAGGAGAGGAATATGTATTTGCTTCAGTCATGCAAGGACTGAGTATATGTTGTCAAAATGTGGGTTGTTGTTGAAACATGGTCTCCTGTCTGAATTCATTCCCATTTACAACCTGTTTACAAATGGAAAAGTAGGGTTTTTTGCATATTTTTCAAAATTATACATGTTCCACACATTAGCTAAAATAGGGAAAATGCACATTTAAAAAAAGAAGAAGTGCATTTCAAAGGTTTGTTTTTAAATATGGATTTTTGACCACAATCACAAATTTGGAAATTTGCAAACATTTCTTAGGAAGAAAGTGCTTCTGGTCGTGTTTGTGCGGGACCAGTTTGCAAGATCTGTGAAGGAAAATGGAATTCTCCAGTGCAGACAAATTGGGAATGGGAGGTAAAAAGATGGTCAGTAGGCTGGAAAGCAGGTCCTTGTGGGCCAACCTGTGGAAGCAGACCCTGCTCCATTCTCTGCGTCTAGTCCTCAATGAAGCAAGAGGCAAGATAACGTCCCCCCCCATGGACCAAAGTGTCATGAGCTTCTGCTTCTTTCCCACACAAGCTGCATCAGGACTACCAGTTGTTCTCTTAGACACGGAGGGAGGGAGGGAGGGAGGAAATACTATCCCTGAATCCAGTTCAAGCATTGTGATCTCTCTCCAGGGCTGAGCTTTAAAATGGGTTCTGAAAGATTTGTAGGAGGATGCTAGAAATGCATTTATTTAATTGCCTTACAACCCACCTTTCCATCGTAGAAAACAATTGGCAATAGTAAGGCTATGATTAAAAAGAAACTAGATCAAAGGAGTCATTAAAAGTAATTACAAGCATGTTTAAAATCAAGAAAAGGAATAAGCAGCATCCAACAGATAAAACATAAGCGCTTCAGAATCAGTCCGGGCCTATGCCAAGCATAGGTATGCTTGAGTACCCAACAAGACTTTTTCTGTCTAAACATGCACAAGACTGAGTCCTAAATAAATTGGGAATTGCAGGACTTTTTCTTGTCTAGACATGCATAAGACTGAGCTCTAAATAAATTAGGATCTGGAAGGAAATCATTATGTTCAGAATTAAAGTAGCCTAGAAAGATGGGCAATATATTTGTTCATGTTTTGCTTCCCTATGCATGTTAATTGCTTCAATCTTACTTCTGATTTCCCATGTGAAATTATGGGGAAATATCTCCAGAAAGCATGAAGATAATCGCCAGCTTTCCCATGCGAGGGGATAAATAATAAAGCATTGTCCCGCACTGCCATTTATGCACAGAAGGGGGTCATTCTTACCCAGTGATTTGAACACGGTTGTTTTCTCACGCAGAGCTGGCTTTGTTCCCAACAAGACCTCACCCATCTCTGCAAAAATTGTTGCCTGTGAAGCAAACACAAGTTATTGTCATCTGTCATTCCCTCTACTTGTGATGGTTAAGCTGTGAGAATAATGGCTGTGAAAGCTGGACCATAAGGACAGCTGAGCGCCAAAGAATTGAGGCCTTTGAATCGTGGCGCTGGCGGAGACTCCTGTGAGTCCCTTGGACCGCAAAGAGATCAAACCGGTCAGTGCTAGAGGAGATCAACCCTGACTGCTCTTTAGAAGGCCAGATGCTGAAGATGAAACTCAAATACTTTGGCCACCTAATGAGAAGGAAGGACTCCCTGGAGAAGAGCCTAATTCTGGGAACAATTGGTGGCAAAAGAAGAAGGGGACGGCAGAGGATGAGGTGGCTGGATGGAGTCACTGAAGCAGTTGTTGTGAGCTTAAGTGGACTCCAGGGAGGGGGGGGGTGGAGGACAGGAAGGCCTGGAGGAATGCTGTCCACGGGGTCGCGATGGGTCGGACATGACTTCGCGACTAACAACAACAACATAATTGCTGATGAAGCCAAAGCGGCACATGTCACAAGGAAGAAAGAGGCTCAAGGGAACCCAGTGCCTTGGCTAGTGTCACTGGTTCCAGTGCCTGCCATAGGTCCCCAGGACCGAACAGATGGGTTCACCAACCCCTATTTTAATTTTCCCACAATCCTTGGGCATACTGTTGTTCCCGGGCATTGTGGGAAATTTAAAGTGGTATCTACTAATAGGTTTGCCATTTTAACTTCTCACAGTGTTCAGGAGAGAAACTGCACTTCACTGCTGTGGGAAATTTTAAAAGATGACTGCCACTCTAGATGCGTAAATTCTGGCCAGTGGCCCAGTGATGTCGAAGAGAGTACAGCCATGTAGTCTGGACAAAGACTTCAGGATTTCAGCTGGAATGTATTGACAAGAAAAGTGAGGTGAGGAGAGAAGAAAGACCTCCTCACTTACCCCTGATAAAATCACGTCCCCCGATTCACATAGAGCAGCCTCTCTGGAATCAACATACAGCATGGAGTTCTTCATAACGTCATCATCCAATTCCCGCCAGTCCGGCCTGCTTGCCCCAATGGCTACACGACAAAAAGACACACACATGATTGGAGGGAAGACTCTGATTCCCAAGAGAGGCATGCTAAGCGGTTTCATCGCATACTGCTGAAAATGCGCTGTGAATCACACATTCCTCCAGAACATTGCCAGTATGGTCAAATGCAGTGCTGGACACATCCCAAGCTGGCCGCAGCCTTGCCTGATCTCCTTGCGCAATTTACTGTGCCTTAGATTCAATGACGTGCTCTGCAAAATAGGAAAACTGGGATCTATCCTACAGAGGTGCAGGCAAGAGAAATGCAACAGTGACAGCTAGTGTGATATGATGGTTAATGTGACTGGAATTCAGGAGATCCAGGTCTGAGTCCCCACTCCGCCATGAAGCTCACTGGGTGGCTTTGGGCCAGATGCTGATTTTCAGCCTAACCTACCTCACAAGGTTGTCGTGAGGATAACAGGGAGAAGGAGGAGGGAGATTCAGTAAACTGCCTTAGGGTCCTTGCAAGAAAACGGTGGGATATAAACGAACAAATAGAAATGAGCTAAGGGATATATCTGGGTGGCGCCCATTTGGCAGAAGCTGCATTAGAGTCTTGAAGCAAGCCTCAAGAGACATGGGTTCAAGATCCACGCACAGTCACAGGAACAGAAGAAATGGGTTTGCACCGAGCCAGACTGCTGGGGTATCTAGCCCAGTAGTGTTGATGCCAACTTGCTGCAGCTTTCCAGGTTTTAGGCAAGGTTCCTTCCCAGCCCTGCTTGGCAATGCTGCGGATTGCACTGGGAATGTTCTGCATGAAAAGTGAGGGCTCAGCTGTTCATCTGCAGCTCCTCTCCCAGGGGCATGAAGCAACCTGGGTGACCCTAGGCCAGTCCCTGCCTCTCAACCCAGCTGCCTTACAAGAGTGCTGTGAGGGTAAGCTAAAAGGCAAAAGAACAATGCACCGTCTTATTTAAACTGAAACAAGCCTCTGAGCACTTGCCTCTTCAAATTGCAGGCAGGTTTTGATTTGGTTCATTCAAAGGAGCGCGCACACCATCAAGCTCCTTTTGAAATGAAAAACAAAGATGCTGAAGCAGCAGAGCAAAGAGGGGCTTGTGTATTTATCCCAATCGCTAACCAAGCATTAAGAGCTGGCTTACTGGGGAAAGAAAGAAAGAACTGGGAAAGGCTTTTTTGCCTGTGTCTGTATCGTGGCAAATAAGGACACCAGTGCTCTCCTGACTCTCCACATTGCGCCTCGACACTACATGAGAAGTGCTTTGAGTGCTGCTTCTGGCGTGGAGGACAATGAAGAGGAAACATTGGTCAGACTTCGATGAGCTGTTGCATTATGCCATCCGTTTGCCAGCTTCAGCAAATTGCTTCCTGTCTCTGTGAGCACACGAAGCAGGAGTAAATTGGAAAGGCTTCTCTGAACTAGGAAAATATGTAAAGAGATGAGCGAATGCAGAGGCCTAGTTCCCTTCTGAGGCTGTTAGATTCCACTGCCTTTGCCCCTCTCTGCATTGGAATGTGATCCTGCAAGGTCTTTCTAACATGTAATCGGGCCCTTGGGCTAAAAAAGGAATACAGTATAATAAATGAGGTTCCCCATGAAAGAACCAGTTAGGAAAGGTGACTCTACAAAGTCGTGTGTGAATGTGTCAGTCTTTAAAGAGAGGAACACTTCAATAAGAGATGTGATCTTATTGTAAGCCGTCCAGAGGCCCGCCAGGTATTGGAGAGAGTAAAAATACCCAAATCAATAAATAAAATAAATAAATCTTGGCCTGATTCAAAGGGGTGACAATTGAAGGGGGGGCTTTATTGCTCATAGCCATAGGCCAGCACAAATTTGAAAAAGAATAAGATACAGTAAAAATACAGTCCAATATCAAATACAAAAAGTTATAAACCATTGAAAACCATAAAAAGTATAGCAAAACTGTAACATTTGCAATGGCCTAATTAAAATCACACATCCATTCCATGTGGGGCGGCGAAATACAATAATCTTGATCCATTAGATCCAATTAGTATAAAACTGCCCTTTTCAGCCAGGGCAAACTTTGCCACTTGGGTCAGAATATATGCATCGCTGCCCACAAGCAGTATACAAATTTTGTCCAACAAAGGTCTATTTGACAGAGAACAGAAGGATGGATTCACATGAATAAACTCCAGACTAAGAAGTTAATATGGGTCATGTAACAGCTTTGGAACTATTCTTATTATTCAATGCAAAATACGTCATTTTGTGATCCTAAATGATCTAAGTTGGACCTTAGTAAGTGCATCTAGAATTAATGCCTAAAGCAGATCAGCAGATCAGACCTTTAAAACCAGTTAATCCAGATAGAAAGATGGATAAATTGGGGGGTTTGAATGTATAAGTTGTATTTGTTTATATTTCCCTTGGCAACTTTGTTCTTTGTAGTTTCCTTTATCTTAGTTTGCTTTGTTTCCTATTCCTTCTTATGTCCTTGTTTATGTTAAGAAAATAAAATTTAAGGGAAAAAATCCAGTTAATCCAGATCAGCTAATCCTTAGCAAGATCTTGAAGCTAAGTTAATTAAAGCGTGTCTGAGAGGTAGGTTTTGTTTAGCATTGCGGGCTGGGCTGTTCATCCGAGCCTATATTAAGTGGTCACTCGTTTAACCAGATTAAGCCAGAGCAATGTCACCACTGCTAAAAGCTGACATGCTGGGACATGTCCAAAACTTGTGGAGAGCTCAGGCCTGGAGGAGAAGCCTGACATGGCAGATCATGCTTCCAGCAGTTCCATGGCTCAGCCACAGTAAGGATCGCTGTCCTCGTGGGCACAGGCCTGATCCTGACCAAGGAGTCAGTGCCATCCACCATTTCAAGCCTCTACCAGGCACCCAGATGGCTATGCAGACCACTCTGATTAAAAACTGCCTCCCCTGTTTTAGCATTTTTGGAAGGGCAGAAAAACTCCAGCCTTCTCCAGCTCAGCACCCTCCCAATGTTCTGGGCTATACTTCCACTGAAGTTAAGCCATCATGCCCCATGGCCAGGGATAACGGCAGTTATAGTCCAAAAACCTGGAGGAAGGCAGGATGGGAAAGGCTACTCGACTTGAAAAATATGTATTTTTTTAATTTCTGGTTTCCCACCTAGCAGAGGAGGAGGTCAGACTGCAGAATCACAAAGCTGAAAGAGGCACCAGAAGTCCCCTCGTCTAAGTTTCAGCCAATGCAGGGAGCCTGCTGCTACAGTACCCCTGAGAGATGGCTAACCAACTTCTGCCTGAAATCCCCACCACCTTTTGAAGCCGGCTGTTCCACTGCTGAACAGCTCATGTGCATTTGGACCCTATTCTCTTAGAGTAACAGCCTTTCTTATCTCAAATGCATCCTGCTTGCTAATGGTAACTCCAATTTAATGAAACCCAGAGAAAATCTATTACTCAAAGTTACCTTACCATTGATATGGGCCCCAGGTTTTACCCATTCTCCGTATAAAATGGGTTTTGTTGCCATAGTGACTGTAACGATCACATCTGCTCCTGTAACTGCCTCCTGAGCAGAAGAACAGACTCTCACTGGTCCATTAACCGAGCGAGCAAACTTCTCAGCATTTTCCTGGGTGCGATTCCAAATCCTCACCTTTAAGGGAAATGGTCACTGATTATCAACCTGTAAAATCCGGGCATCAAGATTCACAATCCATACCGGGATGCAGAACCTTTTTCGCCCGAGGTCCAAAATCCATTTCAGGCAACCCCTCTGGGGCTGCATCTCTGTGGTGGGTGGAGCCTAAAGCAAAAGGGGTGGGGCCAAACACCAGCCCATTTTAGCCTATAGCACTTCTTTCATTCACTAAGCCTTGGGAAAGAAATTTCAGCCTTCAAGAATGGGAGAAGAACTGCAGAGAAGCCAGGGAAACCCAGATGAAGAAAGGAAGCGTGGCTGGAGAAAGGGGTGAGGCATGCCAGTGAAATTCTTAATAATGCACCCTTTAGAAGGCATGTCTGGCTACTCCATCTTCATCACCACAGTGCACACAATGACCAAGACGACCGAGCTGCCAGCATCGCTGATCCCTTTTAAAAAAATTAAAATCCAGCAGGAAATAAAAACCTTGAATTGATAAGGCTGGAAAAGGAGATCCACCAGTGCTTTCTATGGAGAGGTCATTGCTTTGGCAATGCCATGTTTCAAAAGTCTTCTCTTCTGCTGGTTTAACTGGGCTTCTTACCTCCTTAAATGAGAAGATCTCCATGAAGATCTCATAGTGGCTGCGGGCTTGAACTCCGCTCCCCAGGATACAGAGCACTTCAGAATCCGCTGGCCTTAACAGCTGAAAACAAACCCAACAAATCAAAAAGTTCTAGTCTGCATTCCCCCTCCACACCTTTCAAATGAGCAAGTTCTGTCAACCTCAGAGCTCCTTCTCCTTCTTGGCCCTCACCTCTGAGATTTTTTGTACTTCTCGAACCCCAGCTGTTTCCTTCTGCCTGGGTGCCCGGTTGCTAGCCCCTCACAGACACGGTCCAATTTGGCTTCAGTGGATTCCTTCCCCAGCACAACACACACATTCACCTCCAGCTTTGCTAATTAGACAACCACATTTGCCTTTACTTCTATCCCCGCTCTCACAAGGGATGTGGGTGTTCCAATTAGCAGTAGAGATCTGAATTACTGCTAGCATTTTTTTAAAAGAAAAATGGTCATTTCATCTCTGTCCCAGTAGTTGCTGGTGCAACTTGAAATCTTTTCTGAAGTTTGCAGGACCAAACTGAATTGTTTTCCTAATCCCTCCTGTATTCAGTCTAAAGACTGATCCAGACTTGTGCATGCAAGGGAGCTTTGTTCCCCCAATTCATTTTTGTTATTCAATACTTCTTTCCCTGGGTCGTTCATTCATTCAAATCACGGTAAATGTACTTTTCACTTAGTAATATCCTGGGAGGGTTTTTTTAACCTACCTTTGTTTCTCCTTCCCCGTTTTGATTTTCCCAGAATGCCTGAACAGCTGGGCTTCTGAGGCCTTCTGGGAAAAGAAATGGCAGCTCCCACTGGCAGCTGCCATTTTGCCTAGAATGCCAAGTCAGTCCAGCATTCAAGGCAGTCCCAGCAGACTGCATGGCTGAGACTAGGAACAGCTATCGAAATGTTATCTGCAGCTGCCAGAGAAAAATAAGTCTCCTACGCCCTCAAATGAGTATGTATGTGAGAAACAGAGAAAATACATCATGACATTCATTTTGGAACAAAATAAAATTGAACAAAAGGAGCCCCTGTTGGGTTCAGTTTCACAGCTGTTCCAAAATCAATGCACTGTTGACTTCACAATTCTTTCACCATGGCAGAAGTCGTTTTTCCTCTTTTTTCCACTCCCACCCCAAAACGTTTTCCTAGTTTGTTTTATTGAAGAAAGAGTTGTGGATGAATCAGAAGCTTTGCTCCCTATTCCATGAGATTTTGGTTGCTCTGCATAAATGAGGTATAAAGCACAACCTGGGTTTGCTACCTAAAAAACATTCTTTGCCTGCCCAGAAATCTAGAACAGAATCTCCCAACCTGGTAGCCTCCAGTTGTGTCTGACTGCAGCACTCCCTATCCCCAGCCAACAGGCTGGCTGAGGATGATGGAAGCTGTAGTCCAGGGGGCAGAACCTCTTCTACTGGAAAGCCAAATTCCCTTTCAGGGAAGCTGTCAGGGGCACATTCCACCTAGAAGCAATAGAGGTGGGACAGAAATCAGTACAGATGAGGCCCAGCGTGCCAACATCTGTGAGTTTATAGCCTTAAGCGCCTGTTACTCAGCCAGACAAGAGATATTTCAACCTTTCTGAGTGGGGGAAAGTGCCACCAAAGCAGGAAAACCACCAAATAGGAGGGAAAGGGGTGTGGCCAGGGAATGTGGGCGGAGACATGTGGGACTGAGGCTTTACGCCCCTGCTGTAGCCTTGCTTATTGGAAGGGTACAGCTGGAGAACGATGATGCAATGACTCAAACGGATTCAGGGACTTGGTGGAGCTGGGAAAATTTACGCTCCAAATATCTGGATCTCACGGAGCACAAAGCCCTCAGTGCCCACCAGGCTGAATGTAGCAAATTAACTAAAATGCCTCAGCTCTTGTTTTTTTCTTCATGGCCATGAACTCTTTGAATCTCGTACCCTTTTCAAAGGATCCTCAAAGAAAAATTCAAGCACTTTGAAGAGGGGTGCCACAAAACAAAGGGGGTGGGAAAAAAGACAACCTCTAATCACTCCATTCATGCAGAGTCCCTTTGACAGCAATTCAGCTGCTCAAAGACTGGCGGAAAGGGCTGACTTTGAGCCAAGCTCAAACAGCCTGGGCTGACAAGACCCAGTTTGAAGTAGAATGCCTCTTCAAGAAGACTGTGGAATTGAACCCTACAAAGGGAAGAGCTGAATTTAAAGGGTCTCTTTCATCCCAGACAGAAAGCATACCTAAGGGTGACTCAACTCTGGAGTAGGAAAACCTTTGGCATTCAAAGAGCACAGACTGAATGCAGGTGCTTTGAACGCACGACGGCAACTATTGCAGTCCTGGCTAGCGTCAAGGTTAGGCACGACTGGGCACTTGCTAGGGGCCCTCATTCCAGAAAGGGCCCCCAACAAGAACAGTCTGGAGCTGTCCCTGGACTTTATTTTATTTATTTATTTCCTTCATGTCTTACTGCCCCGCAGCCAAAGGTCTCCAGGCGGCTTACACAGACATCACCATTGCATGTCGCCTGCCCTCATTCTGGCCCACGAAACAGTGGTGGAGAGAAGACAATGCAGGAGTTCCCCGGATTGTTTGCACCCAGATGCTCTGCCTGCCAAACAAGCAAGCAAGCGACACCCCTGATGAGGAGGAGCAGCAGCAGCAGCAAAGGAAGCTGGTGGTGGGAAGAGGCATGGAGAGGGGCTTTGACCAGAGGCTCTTCCAAGCTTGGCAGCATCACTGCAAGTCATTAGTAGCCATTTCATGAAAACACCCACCTTGGTGGCGATGGCGGAAACCGCGGCCGTTCTCTTGGCTGTAATGACGCTCCCGTCCATGACCTTTGCAAAAGAGCAACATCACACGGAATGAAAAGACCACGGCAAGCAGCAAACAGGCTGTTCCCCATGTGAACCAGAATGATTACAGCACCAGTTTTCTGCTTCTGAATTCTATGCCCCTTCAAGGCACAAAAGATGGGAGCACGGAGGAAGGCCTCTTGCCATAGGGATTGCTCGCATTATGATTACTGTCAATTACGGTCAGACTACTTCAGCCGCTAAGAGCAGGTTTCCCGAACTGGCATATAGTTTTGCAGTCCACCCAGCTGGACGTCGAGGAAGGTTATAAGTCCAGGGATACCTGTGCCTCCCCTCTCCCTTTGCTGCTCAGGAAAATAAGAACAGAAAAGCATTAGAAGAGCTTTTCTGGATCAGTCAAGGGTTGCGTTAGCCCAGGCTGCTCACAGGATCCAACAAGCAGGGAAGGAGCCCAGCACGGCCCTCCTACCCATGTTCCCCAGCAGCAAGGGTGTATACAGGTATACTGTCTCTGAGACTAGAGATAGCATATAGGTATCAGTGAGAGCCAGTGTGGTGCAGTGGTTAAGAGCGTGGGACTGGGACTCAGACGATCTGGGTTCTAGTCCCTGCTCGGCCATGGAGCCAGCTGGGTGACTCTGGGCCAGTCATAGACTCTCAGCCCAACCTACCTCACAGGGTGGTTGTTGTGGGGATAAGATTGAGAGCAGCAGGAGGAGACTGATGTTCTTAATGGAAAGTAAAAAGTTGGGATATACATCTAATAAATAAATATCAGAACTGCCAGCCATGGACAGCCTTCTCCTCCATGCATTTGGCTAGGCCTGTTTTAAACCCATCCAGAATGGCAACCATTACGGCATCCTAAGGAAGATAATCCCATAGTTTAATTATGCGCATTATGAAGAAACCCTTCCTTTCAATCTATGCTGATTCTCCCACCAATCCGCTTCATGGAATGACTCCATTGCCCCTAATATTAAGAGAAGCCGGGGGGGGGGGATCTTCTCCTTTCCCTATATTCCACATAATTTTGCACACCTTTATCATGTCTCCCACTTTTTTCCTAAGCTAAATGATCCCAGATGTTGTAACCTAAGGGCCGTTACTCCAGTCCCTTAATTGCCCTTCTCGGTGGGAAGGCACCTTCTTCAGGGGGTCTGTAGGACTACCTCATAGCAGAGCCCACACCTAGAAGTCCCTGCAGACGTGGTTCCCCACAGACAGGATGGGCACATCATGCCCATTTCTGATGGCTGTGTAAGTTCGCTCAAAGCCATTGCCACACCTGACTAAGGGCTTTTGGGAGTGTTCTTATCTATAAAAAAGCTATAAATAAACACATCAGTTCCCTCCTACAGTGGTACGGTTGAGATACACGTTGACTAATGCAGGACGAAATTAGGCCTGAGAAAAAGACATTTGCTCGATACCATTGGCTTAGACTGAGATTTGAACCAGATCCAAGCTGACAGTCCCAAGATCAGTGATCTTCTCAGGTCTAAAGTCTATGCCATTTGATTTCCCCAGCAGTCGTTCAGAGGCTCGGTTGGTTCAAGGCGTGTTTGCATCACGCAAACACCAAACGGACTGACCGCTTTGAGGGTGCCGTTGCTTGGATCGAACAACAGCACGGTTGCTTGATGCGAAGGAACCCCGGGGTCATCCAGATGCTCGTAAAAGGTCACCAGCTTGGTTGTCAGAGCGTCACCGTTTGCAGTGTAAGCAGGCATGACTCCTAAAAAGCTGGCAAGCAGAAAAACAGGTTGGTGCAATGACCCTTCAAGTCCAAGCAACCTCTGTTGGCAGCCAGGGTAAGGAGAAGTTAATCAGCAACCACTCCTAAAGCGCAAAGAACTCATTCATACATGTACTTATTTAAAATTATTTTTAGGGTGCCTTTAAGAGTAGGAACCTATCAAGGTGACAGACAAGAAACAACACTTAAGGATAGGAATCGGTCATACACAAATACTCAATGAGATACTGTATCAATGCTATAAAAATGGAGAGGGGCAATGAACACGGTAGCCAAAAAATTATACCAAAGTCAGCAAAAGCCACAGAACTTCAGTGTTTTCCTGCAGACCAGCAAAAGGAGGCCTGACAAACCCTGTTCGAAGCCGATCCCAGAGTTGCGGGGCCCCCAAGGAAAAGGCCTTCTCCTTTGTACTCACCAGTCCAGTACAGTGACTGTCCAGTGTAGGAACCAGGCAAATGAGAAGGGTCTGTGTTGACAGCCTGAGGACGGGCAGGGAAAGGCATTCCATGAAACAACTTTGATCTCAGGCCTATTCAAGGCTAGAACCTGCACTCCAAAGGGCTCAGGAATGCGATGACAACCCAGGCCGCTGCATTCATCACCCACGGAAGTTACCAAACAGTCTTCAAAGGCTGCCCCACACAGACTGCCTTGCAGTAGCCAATCCGTAAAGAATCTCTTATCTCGTCAGGACCAACCTGGCACCAAGCAGCCAATCCTAACCCTGCGTTTGGGTGAGGGGATGGGGGCTTCATAAAATCGTGGCCACAATCACCCCCATTTTCCAAATTACATTGCTCATGCATGAAACCATCAGATCTCTCCCAATATTACTTAGATCCTATTCATCTGAATGGACCTATTTCTGTAAGACGTCCCAAGATGTTCTGTAAGGGGACGGGATAGAAAAGTTTTTAATTTATAAATAAATAAATTTAATGGGACTGATAGTGGATGCAAACACTTGAGTATTTTAGGTGCTGGACTTCGGGCACAATCCTAAGCATATTTAGCCAGAACCAAGTGCAGCTGCTGCTGCTGCTGCTGCTGCTGCTGCAAAGCTTTTGTTCTGCCTAAACCTGAGCTAGGACCGTGGATTTCAGGATCTCGTGGGGACCCCTCTGTTGTGACCCTGGATCATACTTCGAGGACGGAGCACAGAGCTCGTGGCTTCCGCCTCCAGAGCCGCGGCCGCGCATGCTTTCCAACGGGCCCCGCGTTGCTGCTTCTAATGCTAGGACAGGCAAGGGAACCTGCTTGCGACAGCGACGGGAAAAGGCTCTCCGCGCTCCAGCGCAATTGTTCTGAGGTGCGGGAGGAGCTGCGCTGCCGTGGATCGGGGCGCAAGGTCCCGTCTTCGCTGCCCCGCAGCGGATGCCGCTGCTCCAAATTCCCACAAGGGCAGAGAGGGTGGAAAGCGGCGGAGCCGAGGCGCGCGCGCGGCTGTCTGTCTGTCTGTCTGTCTGATTTATTTGGTTGGTTATAACATTTATATGCCGCCTCTTTTGCCCATGGCATCTCTAGGCATATAAATGTTTTAAATTAAAAAAGCAAACAAACTTAACAAGCCCCCCCCCCGATGATCACCGGGGAGTCCCCCGGAGATAAGGGCCCCCGAGCATCGAGGGCCCCCTCCTGCCGTCGCTCCCCCGGTTCTCACCCGCGGTGCTTCCGAATGGGCACCACGACGCGCACCGGCTGCACGACGCCTCCCTCGGGTCCCTTGGAGAAGTTGCCCAGGGCGGCCTCCAGCGCCGGGACGAGCAGGCGGGGCGCGGGGAAGCACCGCTCCACTTCCTCGGCCCCCAGGAAAACGGGGGGCGGCGCGGCGTGGCTCATGGTGCGGATCCTGTCGGAGTGGTAAATGCTACTCCGAGGAGTAAATGGCCGTCGGGTGTGGGTGTGCCCCGCGCCGGCCGCCGCCTGCCCCCTCCGGAGACGCAGCCTCCCTGCCCCCCGTCCGCGGGGTCGCGGCCAAGGGCCGTCCCACTGCACGGGCGAGCGGACGCGGGAGAGGTGCAGCGCCGAGCACCTCCTAGCGGCCGTCCGATCAGCCCGCGGAGGAAAGAAGCGGAGACCGCGTTTTCTGGAGCGCGTTTGGTCCGCGTTGCCCGCAAGAAAGCGCCCCACGCGCGTCTTCCAAGCGGGCCAAGCCTATAGCGGGAGTCGTTTGCAAATCCTATCGTCCCCAGCGTGGGAGAAGGAGCCCACCCCATCTGCAGGGCGCTGTAGCAACCTTATCTAGAGGGCACCCGGTTGGCGAAGGGCTGGCATCACGCCGTAAAAACCGAGCGGCAGGCAGAAGTTCAACAGAAGAAGCGTTCCTCCGTCCTGCATCTCTCTTAGTTTGATTGCATTCTTGTCACAGGCATTTAAAGCACAGGAACCTTACAACGGGGGAGCGCCTTGTGGGGAGAAGCGGAAACTTATTTCGTCTAAATTTTCTCAATAGTTTTTGGGAAGAGAGGTCTTCCCTGTACCCTCTTTTGTCTTCTCCTGTAAGTGCGATACCTTGAGGGGAAATTAGTCCTACAACTCCGAGTAGGCTAGGATTGTGGATTTTCCTCCCTGTTTGGACGTGCCTAAGATTATTGAGAATGTATCCTATGCATGTTTGGATTGGGGGGGGGATTCCCAGCATCCCCCAGCCTGTGGGGTTTTTTTTGGGGGGGGGGGTTGTGTAAGTCTATCTAGGATTGTGCCTTTAAGCTATTAAAACACCTCATACTTTGGAATCAACACTAAAGAATGAGCTGGGAAATATGTCTATGTTTGTGCTATCAAAGAACTGAACAATTGTACAGAGTCTGATAAAGGCAGTTTGTGTGTAGAAAATCAATGAGATTCATTTAAAATATTAATTTCTGCCACTGTTGACCAAATGGTCCGTAAGTCCAAAATACACAACAGCGGAAGGTTTTCTTTTAAAAGATTTATTCTCGAGAATAACTGGCTGCTAAGGAATCGTTCCAGATGGCGCAACTGAGCAGTCCTCGGTCAGTCCTTTTATACAGGGATCCATAAAGGGTTATACGTAACACAGTTATCACTCTCCAATAGGTTACAGAGTTAAAAAGTTACACTGGCTTGATCTTTCCTGCTTGCATACCAAAGAAGATGCCCCGAAGGAGGGGGAAGATGGGGTGCTATTACCTAGAGGAGGAGGAGGATGGGGTGGCCTGGTGTGAATTGCCCTTTGTATGTGCTGCTGGTATCTGTCAAGGGCCAACTAGCTTTCTCTGGACGGTGCCTGGCCAGTGCCAGCTACATTTCAAGGACGCACATATGCTAATTTCTAGAAACGAAGGTTTTTCTCCGGCCTGGTTATGTGTCAATGATGGCCTGATTTTACCTATGAAAGTTCTGCCTAATGATTTGTACATCACCACTCTTTCAGCATGGCTGGCTGGGGGAATGCTGACATTGTAGGATGTTTTTCTGTTTAAAGATACATTGGATTGCAATCCTTAGCGGACTAACTCAAAGGTCACCAAAATGTGAGGAGTCTTTGTGGTACCTTAAAGCGGCTTTCTTCACTTGATGCCCTCTCGATATTTTGAACTAAAACTTTTGGAAATTGGCAATTGTTACATTCCTGGGAATTGTTACAATTGGCAATGGCAGCAGAAGGGTTATTAAGGAGCTAAAGTTTAAAATGTCTCTAGAACACCAAACTGAGGACATCTTGCTTAAAGATATGCAAAGGGATTTCTTATTCTCTATAAGCCTTCGCCATCTACAGAACTCTTCATCAGGCATTGGCAGATTTTAGAAAAAGCAGTTTAGTGGGATGGAAGAATAATTGCGGGCAGGGATAAAGCCCTGTGCATTTGTTACGTAATCCTGCTCCTCTTTTTATTTTATGCTCACAACCTTGTGAGACACGTTCAGTTAAGCGTCAGCGACTCGTCCAAAACACTTCCGCCCCGCGCATGGAGAATTGTACACACTGCAATCTGGAGCCGGAAGTGTCTAATTGGAAAAACATTGAGCCCCTTGATTCAGTCTGGGGCGCTCTAGCCACTCGTTACCTCTGATTTCGATAGCATTATGCCTTGGTAACATAGACAAAAGAAAAGGGAGACACTCTATGGCGAGGCGTTACAGATAGAAGGGTCACGTGGTATATGCTGGGAAAAGCCAAGCTTCCGGTTCCTGTGCCAGAGCCGCCATCTTGGTTTCCTTCCCGGGGAGGCTCGGCATCCGCGGCAGTCGGAGGCAATGAAGTCCCTTCCGCTGGTGGCGCGGTGCGTCTCGGTGAGTGAGACCGACCAGGCGATGCGGGGAACGGGAGGCGAAGTGGGGGAGCCCCCTGGGTAGGGGACGGCGCGCCGGAGGCAACGCAGCGGCCTTTCCTCAGGTACGGAGCGACCTTGACTGGGGCCTTCCGACGGAGGAGGAAGGGAAGGTGAAGTCGGGCGCCACGTCCCGCAGCGGGCGCCTCCGCCCCGCTCTTCGCCCTCCGCAGCCGCCCTGTGAGAGAGGACGGAAGTGGGGCGGCAGGGGCACGCGAAGCCCCTGCGGGGTGGGCGGGAGGCTGAAGGTCACGCGGGGCGCCCCGAGGTCGGCCTGGCTCCTGAGGTCACGCGCCGCCTGAAGGCACCGCCCCGGGGTGCTCCACGTTGGAGGCAGGTGGCTGCGTGCGTGGGGAAGTGTTTTGGGGGTGGAAGAAGTCTCTTTGCACAGAAACATATCATGTCAGGGAGATTAGCCCGCAACCCTTTGGTGCTAGTTTTCTACGTGCAGGAATTTTGCTTCTGGTGTCAGGATTCTTAGTTTTTTGTGGAGGAGTAGAAAGGAAGAAGCCGGGCATCACTAGGCAAGCAAATGGGCTGGGGATTGCATGCAGAAACTTAATTCCCTGGTTTATTTCTGACATCTCCAGTTAAAAGCAATTAGAACCGAAGGGAAAATTTTCTGCTAAAGACCTTGCAGAGCTGCTGCTTATCAGGTTGTACAGTACCAGCCTGGATAAATTGAGCTGGTGAAAGGCAACTCTCGTGTTCTTAAATCGTTCCATTGTGCAAATCCCTAGCTGTGGTCTGATGCAAGTTCCACAGCACAAATTAGACTTAGTTTGGAATCATTTCCCACTCATTCAGTGCTACCTGATGATCCTCTATATATTCTAGTGCCTGTACCACCCTCTTGTGTTCAGCAGCAGGTGGCTTGCATATCAGGTGTAACACAACCATGTCATGTCAATCCCCGTTTTTCAGGTGATGTAATTTTAAGAAGTGGTGATGCAGGGACCCTTGTTGAAGGCAGTAACAAGATGAGGGTGGATGACATGTGTCCCTCCAGATGCTTTGGCCTAAAAGTCCTTTCAGCCCTGGTCAGCATAATCAGTGCTGAGAGCTGATGGAAGTTGTTGGCCAAAGAAGCTGGAGATTCACTAGCTGTCCACCTGTGCTTCAAAGTCTTCACTTGCTAAGCAAGCTTGTGCACTTAGTTTTATTTTGCAGTATGTTTCTAACCACCATGTAACAGAAGGTGTTGAGTAGCTCTTTAAAACGTTCTTGCAAATAAGTCTGTAGAACTGGATTAATTCTGTCCCCTTAGAAACTGATTGCCTTTGCATGTTGAAAGCCGACTGAGTGATCCTGGGGCATCTCCTTTGTTTTACCATGTCCCACTTTGCAGGGTTGTTGTAAGGATTCATTATACTGGGGAGAGTTATGTATGTACACAGGATTGAGATCCTTGTAAAAAGGAAGTGCAACCTGTTTTGCAATGTGGAATGGAATGGAGTATCTTGGAAGAGTTTATGATGAACTGTCTGGAACCCTGAATGTGAGCACTCATTGCTGCAAATCCCACTTGTGATATAGCCTAAGATGTTCATCACAACTTCATTGCTTTGTTATAGAACACTGGAGTATTTTTCCATTGTTACTCTGTGCAGATCAGAGTGTAGCTGGTAGATGGCCCTGTAAGCCATTCTGTGAGACTGGAAATGCTGGTGACATGTCATCCAGTCTGTCGCTTTATCTCTATGGTGGCACAGGTCTGATCGCAGAACTTCTGCCCTTTGTTGTATGACTGCATTAATAGGACTGCAAGCAGACTTGCTGAGCTTGCCTGGAAAGAACAGCTACCACATTTGATGCTGACATACATTCTTCTCTTTAGGAAGAAAAAGGTTTTCCTGTTTGCCACAAATACTGACTGGACTTGCAAGACCCCTTTTTAATTGTTTATAAAGGCATTTATATACTTTTTGCCTGAAAGGAGGCAGGGTCACCAAGGCAGTTTGCAAAAACTGAAACCTGATTATAATTAAGAAAACTCACCCTGGGGTCTCTGGGCAAAAAAGAACCTAAATGAAGGAGGAAAGGTGGCTATTCCAGGGGAGGGGAGAAGACTAGTGAGGCCAGGATGCAAGTCATTATGAGCCTGTTCCATCTTCCTTCCAGAGCACTCTTGCTAAGGGCACTAAAACATCTAACAACTTGTCAAAAACAAATGAAGGGGAGGGGATGACCCCAGTGCAGCAGGGTAAAGAAAACTCAGCAACCTATGGATTTGTACCCCCAAGCAACAAAGGCTCAATCAATAGGATCACATCCGAAAGCAGAAAGCACTAAAACAAGCAAAGGAAAAAAAAACTCCTGTTTTCTGATAGCAGTAGTTTTTGTTTAGAAAACAATGGCAGGGGGATTTTGAAATAAAACACTGAATGAACATTCACTCTGTGATAAGAGGGTTTTGTTGTTGTTTTTAAGTTGAACAGTCTGCCTGTAGTATGGATATTGTGGGGTTGTGGGGCGAAGACAGATTACTGTATTGCTGCTCAATTCACTGGTGAATGCAACTGTCAGATGGGTTGCCAGGCTGGAGAGAAGCCAGTTTCAGTCCATGGGAGGAAACAAAGCAAGCAACTCTGATTCTTGATGTAGTCTATGTTGTATAACTTACAAGGTAGATTAAATAATTCCATGCATCAGCAAGTGCTATAGAAATTCATCACTTGGTAAACTTTACGTAAACTTTACATAAACGGAATGAGAAAGAAGTGGTATGAAGACAGGCACTTTCAAATGAAGCAGATAGCATGTTAATTGACTGAGCTAGTGATGATGAAAATGAAATCATATTCATTTGGACTGCAACTGTTTGTGTTTGCTTGTTTAGAGGAGGTTTTATTCTCTCAAAACCGCACCTAAAACTGGATTCATCGCAGGAACAGAGCATGCGAAGATACAGCTGCTGCCCCAGGATCTTGAGGTTGGTCTGAAGTGCAAGGTATTTTTCAAGTTTTGTTAAGTGAAATGCTGTGTGTCTTGCATGAACTAATGTCTCCTTTCTTTGATGCAGATCACGAAACTACCAAATGGATTAGCAATTGTTTCCCTGGAAAATTATTCCCCAGCTTCAAGGATTGGTGTCTTCATTAAAGCAGGCAGCAGGTATGAGACGATGGCCGATTTGGGAACCTCCCACCTGCTCCGCCTCGCATCTAACCTGGTGCGTTTTCCTCTGACTTAATATTTTGCATTTAGGTTAAGAGAGCAAGGACTTGTTAGGCTTGTATCTTAAATTTGAAGTTGGGGCTGGCAAATTTGGGAGTAGTGTAGGAATCCAGTTGGAATTCTGAAAAAACAAGGGTACGTGCTGTCAGCCAGGTCCTCACATAACACACAATCATGGTGTGGTTTGGGTTTGTTATGATCTGACTTGTCTTGTCAACCTATCTCCACAAACACATCATGACTGGTTAATATGCCACAAACTGCTATAGAAGCCACGGTTTGTTTTTAAGTCTGGGTAAGTCTGAACCATGGCTTGCTATGATGTCTGAATGCAGCACTGACTTGTCTCTGACTTGTTTGTACTGCTATCTGTCCTGAAACCAAAGTACCCAATCAGGGCAGATAGAAAATTCCGAAGGTTGGCAAAATGACTGGGAGAGAAACAAACCAAACATAAGGGCTGGTTAGAACTGGCTTGCCAAACCGGGATCAGAAACCCTGGCTCAAAGAGGGATGACGAACAACGGTTCGTGCTAATTATGGTGTGATGAGGTAGTTGTAATGACTGACTAGAGTTAAGGTCATCCTATGGTCTCTGAAGGCTGTTGCACCTCAGAGAGATAGCTGCAGGGTGCGTGTGTGTGTTAATGGATACTGGGAGAACCCTTATGCCTGGGGTGGGGAATATGTGACCTTCCTGATGTTGTACAGATCCCACCAGCCCTTACCCTTGACCTTGCTGACTGGTGCTTATGAGAGCTGGTGTTCATCTTCACCGGGAAGGCCACAGGTTCCCCATCCCACTTGACGCATCAAAGAAACTTCAAGTGTGGCAGCACCACTTAGCAAGCTACTCATGGATGCAGCTCCTGTATTGCAAATCAGTACATATGTTAAATATTAGTGGGCAGTTGCAGATCAAGACATTATTTTTAAAAGCCTACACATGGAATGCAGTAGTGTTGACATGACAGGCATGATGATTGCAGCAATTCCTAGGTTCGTTCAGCTGTCACCAAAAGCAGCATCCCCGAGTTATTTCCACAAAGCATCATGTGATGCCATGATTATTAAGCCTTCCCTACCCCTTTCGGTTTTGTCACCACATGCTTATGAGGTTGGAGAAACTTGGTGCACAGAGCCATTGCATCTCCCGCTTCATTACCAGAGAGGGAGGAGGAAGGACAGGGCTGCTGTCGCTGCGACTCTTTAGTAAAGCCAGCTTTCAGCATTCGGACGGAGAACGTATCGAGCCTTCTGCATTCCCATCAGATGTTGATTCCGTAGTTGCAGTTCTCTTCCGTGGTCGATCTGAATGAACTCGCTCATACTGACTCGTTATAGCTGAAGTTGTTGCATGGTGCTGATAATGGCTTCTGTTCGTTTGCTTGCAGTGCGGCTAGTCAAGTTAAGCTTCCTTATGGACTAGCCCGGACTGCCTTGCTTGCACTGACAGTGTGCTTTGGTTTTCCTACAGACGACAAAAGGAGCCTCTGCCTTCAGGATCACCACGGGCATCGAAGCTGTGGGGGGTTGCCTGAGGTTTGTAATCACCGAAAATGGATCCGGCATCAAGTCTGCCGCAATCCCGGTGCCTTCCAGCCATGTTGGGCTGCAGCTCTCGTTAGCCCTCTCTGCCCAGTGTGGATGACTGGCATGTAGGCTGTGCATGGTGGGAGTTGTGGGCCAGCTCATCTGGAGGGCTCCAGGATTGCCTTTGTTCTTGTTTAAGTTGCAAAAGGTCCTGGGTTCAAATTTTGCACGAACTCTGGGATGGGAAGGGCTTGTTTGCTTTCAGAATTAAGTTCCCTCTCTCTTTGTGCACCTGAAACTGGGTTGCATGCTGTGCCTATAGATATATGAAGTCACCATGATCTCTTATCTCCTTTCTTCTTCTTAATTCACTGTCCATGTAGTGGGGACAGAGTTACACAGCTTGGCTGAAATATTCACATTCTGAAGGGGGAAGTGCAGAACACTTGTGCTTGTTACTGCATTGGCTTCCAATATGTGCCATCTTTATTTTATTTCTATACCAACCAATAGCCAAAGCTGCTTGAACAGAGCAATTCATAAAAATTACAGACCACAAATACCTGTAATAAAATTCAAGTATAAAAAATTAAAACAATTTTAGCAGTTGAAAACAACTTCAGTAGAAATACTGTATATGGTGAAAGTGCAGCAGACAAATGTCTGGTTACTAAATGAGGTTTGTGAATTGGTTCAAGAGTATTTTTGGTTTTGAGGGTTCTGTTAGCTGAAAATGTCTGTCCCCCAGTCATCTTAATATATTAAATACTTGCACCTCAGACCTGAGAAAATGTTGAATGCTCTTCATTTAATACCTGGATATAAGTATATTCCAGTGAAGTATGGTAAAAGGTGCATCTTATTTTTAAGTTTAAACAGTACAGTATTTGGTGCTGGTTTGGGATGGTGGGAGTTAGTCCGGCAATCTGGAGGGCACCAGTTTGGGAAAGGCTGTAGTAAAGTGTGTTAATACTTCATTTAAAAAGTCCATTATGCTGGGACTATAGATTTAAGTTTGCATCTCCTTATTCAATTGCGTACTGCTTAAAGACTCAGATTTAAACATCCAGCTGATGTAAAATGCTGCACAGATTAGCTCTGCTGTGAAATAAGCAGTGAAGGACCAGCATTAGTGAGCACTGTTTAACAGTGGCTTCGTATCAGGTAGAAAGGAACCGTACATTTAAAGGTAGATGGCGTGAATGACTACATTATGCTTTTTGGCTCAAGTCTTGCTGTGGAGTTGCTAAATGCCAGTAAGCACATTGGACCATCTGAAAGATGTAACCTTTCTTTTATTCTTCCATAGTGTGACTTCTACCAGGGAGAACATGATTTATTCCGTGGAATGCCTGCGTGACTATATGTAAGTTTCTGGATGTGCAGCGGCAGATTTTGTGCATATTGGGGAAGAGAAGGTGCCCAGAGCACACTCACGAAGGCCAAACTGTAGATTGTGATGTCTGACCCAGGCCCTATGTACATGAAGTGCTTTGAATGCAAGGGAAAAACTGCATAAAAGCACAGGCACTAAATGTGCTGCAAAGCCGAGAGCAGGTGGAGAAAGGAGAGAAAAGGTAAAACTTGGAGTGGGGACGATTATACAGAGATCAAGCCAGATGGGTGATGGAAAGTATTGTCCCTTGAAACTGTTAAGATCCATCAATCTATGGACAAAAATATCATTCTCAGCAAATCCTCATGCAGCTATGGGAGTCACAGTCTGAAAGCTGATTCAGACACTTGAGTTCCAGCTTAGCGTGGCCCTGGCCAAGTGACTGCCTTGACCAGCTGCATCTGTGCCGAGGGCTTGTGTGCAGGAGTTCTCTTCCTGCTGCTCAGTTAAGGTTCTCCAGGGAGGGAAGTGTGAATTCTGCCCTTGTTTGTTCTGTATCCCCCACCCGACCCTGTTCCCCTTCCTTGGTGGTTAATCGCTGCTTGGGGAAGGGAATTTGTTTTCCTAATTCTGGAAGTGCCAGGTACATTGATACTAGTTCTTAGATATGTTCTATTCATGGAAAGGTTTTTTTTTTTTAAATCTTGAAGAACCTAAGTGTTAATCCCATTACCTTTTCATACTATGTTTTAAAATCGCACTTGTTGTCCTTGCCCTGTTTTGCACTTCAGGCAGCCACAGTTGTTTTACTTTCTTTTCCTTGGCTTAATTTATTCAGTGATACCGTAATGGAATACTTAATCAACGTCACTACTGCACCAGAATTCAGGCCTTGGGAAGTAGTCGATGCTAATCCCCGTTTAAGAATTGACAAGGCAGTTGCCTTCCAAACTCCTCAAGTTGGTAAGTGTTGCTAAGTGGGAACATTTTTCTCTCAAGAGCTTGCAGTGCAACCAAAGTCAAAAGTGTGGGTGTTGGAAGACTTATCTCTTACACTCTCCTTCCTTTCTCCTCCTTCGCGCCCAGGAAGATGATGGGAGAGGAACTAACTGCTTTTAACAAGAGCCCAAACTGATCGCTTGTAGTTGGCTTTCAGAATTAGCCAAGGGCTGTTAGTTGCTCAGTCCAAGTGAAAGAATGTATGTTTTTGGCAGTTTATCTCTTCTGTGAATGGATTTTGCAGCTTGCTTTATTTATGTATTTATGTATTTTATTTATTTATGAATTTGTATACCACCCACTAATCCAGATGGATTCTCTAGGCTGTTTTTTCTCTGATAGAGCTAGAAAGGGACCTGTGCCCTGGAATAAATTGTTGTTAATCAACCACTCTTACTGGCATATTGACAACTAGGGATGTTGAGTATTTAATTTTATTTATAGGTCATGCAAACATATCCTACTTTCAGAAATGTGCATTTTAATCCAAACAACATTTTCATATTTTAGCCTACTTGAGAAAAGTGTGTATTTAGCCTTGAAAAGCTCTAAATTTCAGGGGTTCAACATGCACACCTTTCCGGTTTTTAAAAAAAAAAGACTCAACAAATTCAAACATTGCTTGCTCTCTTATATCAATTGTCAATACTTGCTGTGAGAAGGAGGCTTCAGACATGTTTCTTGACCAGCATTTCCTTGTGCCAAACATTTTTTCAGAGGCAGTTTTTAAAAAAAACAGATATGAAGATATGCTTGTCAAAATGACATTTTGTGGTTTCTTGAAAGTCCCCGTGAACTCACAAGGAGAGCTTAGACCATCCGAAAAGTGATTCTTAGCAAGTATCTAAGGCCTAGGAAGCATTTCTCCCCATTGGCTTAGATGGAGCTGTCTGTTATTTTTCCAATGGTTTGAAAGGGCATTTGTGCATGGAAGCGGGCTTCACCTTAGTGTAGCCAGAAAACGCTATATGATAGTGGGAATTACATTTCCGCAGATACAGATTGGGTACACATTCCTTTGATTCACTGTTACAATATAAAAAACCTCCCATTGTTTCATGTTTAGGTGTCCTAGAAAACCTGCATGCTGCAGCTTATCGGAATGCTCTTGCCAATTCCCTATATTGTCCAGACTACAGAATTGGGAACATTACACCTGAGCAGGTACAAGCCTTTTTATACTGCTATTATTCCCTGAAAGCTTGTTTGTATGTCTGTGGGAAGAGATACCCAAAAGATAGTCTTTACTTTAGATATATTAGTTTCTTTTCCTTCCACTGACAAGCTCAGTGGTGGTGGATTTCCCAACTGGTGCACTAGTAGCTTATAAGGCAGCAGCTTTTTACAGCAGCTGTACTAAAAATCACAGTGCTTAGATTTCTCTTGGAAGTTTTCATTTGTAAGAATGAAATGGCTTTTCATTCTTACAACTTTTCGGGGTGATGGTATGGAGGAATTTCTCTTTCTGGATAGGCTGGGCCCAGCTGCATATGTTTTATGTCCTATCCAGCATACCCACATCCCAGATTCAGCCACCACTGACCAGAGATTATTCCCTGTTGCTTGGAAGGAATTGACAGCAAGCATCCCTGCATTTTGGTTTGAAATCTGCATCTTTGGCAGCAAAGGGCTTGCACAGTACTTGGATAATTTATGGCCACAAGATGTAGCAGTGGCTCTTTGCTTAGCTACTATTAAAGGGGTCTTATCTAGCAAGGCTCCGGTGTTCATATGCTGGTTAGGTGGCAGAAATTTTAAAATGTACATTATTTTCATCACAGCTGCACCGTTATGTACAGAACAACTTCACAAGTTCCCGAATGGCTCTGGTGGGGCTAGGTATGTAAAGCTGACTTTCCTGTCTTACAGCTGTGCAGTATGCATTTGAAGACACTGCTTTTTTGCCATAAGCTCCAGGTTCTAACCCAAGCCCTGTTTTGCAGGTGTCAGCCACTCGGACCTGAAGCAGGTCGCAGAGCAGTTTCTAAATATCCGCAGTGGGGCTGGCACACCTGGTGAGAAGGCCAAGTATCGTGGAAGTAAGTAAGATCTTTTGGCTGCTTGCTTGGTGATTCCGTGAAAGAGTGTTCTTGAATTAGACTGACAGACACCTCAGTGCTGCTTTCTGACCTCTTCCTCTGCGACGATTGTCTGGTCCGCAGGGCTCCTGCACTGGCATCTCAGCCGCCACACTGCTGCCCTTCTCCACATGCACGGATTGCCTTTCACAGAAACAAATTCAGCACATTAAGCAGCCTGAAAATCCTGTTCTCTCTTGCTGCCAAAACATCTATGATTGCAGTTACACTTTTATCCCACCCTTCCTCTGGCGAGAAAATGCATGAGCATGTGTAAAGAAATGCTTAGTGAGTTTCATAGCCGAGCAAGGATTTGAACCCAGGGTGTTCTGGGCTCACCTTGAACCCTTATCCACTGTGCTACATGGGTCTGTGGATGCTGACCTGCTGCCCCATTGACTTGGGCAAGTCTCAAATCCTGCTTGCTATAGTGTTTTTATTTATTAATTTATTTTATTTCTATTCTGCCCATCCGGCCAAAGCCCAAAATAGTATTTCAGGATGCAGAACAGCACAACTTGACTTGGCCACTTGGAAGATCCTGTTAATTATCTGTTTTATTTATGACTATGGTACCTTTCTAAGCAGATCAAGGTGATTTACAGAATGTCCAAAACATGAAAATCACAATCCAATCCAAAGCATAGTAAAACAATAGAAATATCAGTAAGATCATAACAATTTTAAAAGTCAAGTTTGAAAAGTGCCCTCCTCCTCCTCTATTTTATTTAAATATGCCCCTAGAATACTTTATTATGCAGTGTTTTTGCATTCTAAACATCAGAACTTGAGATGTCTGCCAAAAAAATGGGAACAGCTGAAGGACATAGCTTTATATAGAGTAAAGATGTCCTTCCTGAGCTTGTGACACTGCGCAGACACGAGGACAGAAAATGTGAACTGGGCAGAGAGCTTCAGCTGTTGGATGATATAGAAATTACATACATACATACATACATACATACATACATACATACATATTGTTAGCTAAAAGTGGTATGATCACAATAGAAAACCCGTGTTTTTATAACCATGTTCCAGGACTCCTGGAGTTCTTGAGATGCTTGTTGAGGGATCATCAATGATGAGGTCCAAAGATTCCCCTTGTCCATCTCTTCACAGCTGGAGCAGAATGCTGGCTGTGCTTTTAGGATATACCTCCAGTTCACACACAGAGTAACATGAGGCGAGTGCCCCACACAACCTGAGTGAGCACCATGGGATGTTTCACAGAAGTCTTTGTCATGCATCCATGCGGTGTGTCCAGACAGTCTGATGCAGAACATTTAAACATACCGATTACCTTTTTTGCCTTTTGCCAAGGTGAACTTCGAGAGCAGAATGGCCAGAGCCTTGTCCACGCGGCTGTAGTAGCAGAAGGCGCTCCTAAAGGAAGTGCAGAAGCAAATGGATTCCGGGTTCTTCAGCACATTCTTGGGGCAGGACCTCTGATCAAGAGAGGAAACAGCGTTACCAGCAAGCTCGTCCAGGGGATTGCGAAGGTGACAACGCTGCCTTTCGACGTAAGTGCTTTGCTCGGCTCCCTTATTTTACTTCTGAACAGACACGTGGCTGGGAACATCTCATGCGCTGACTTGTGCGAGAGCTTATTTGGTAGGGGTTCCCAGAGGATGGATCAGGCACTTTCTAGTCAGTCAAGGTTCTTAAAATGTTCTTTTACATACACGCTGTTATGATGGGTGGGGTTGTATGTCACACCAGGTTACCCTGTGAGTAAGTCACAATGGATTGGTTCCTCACTGAATTAGAAAGGTGACTTCATCTTCAAATGTGTATTACTTTTGTATGGGGTACAAACATAAATCAAACTTTTTCTAGGTGTGAGGCACAGAAGGGGTTGGGAACCACTGGTTTAGAATGAAGAAGCTTGTTGAAATAAACTAACTGAAAATATGCTGCTTCTGCAGGCCACAGCATTTAATGCAAATTATAGTGATTCTGGACTTTTTGGCGTTTACACAATATCCCAGGCTTCAGCTTCTGCGGAGGTAAGCTATTGGTATATTCAGATTAACTTAACTTGAAATGTATTCAATCTGCAAGTTTTGATAAGAATTTATATTCTCCCCAATAGTTCAGTAAAGAAACGATTTCTAGTATGGGGGAGTGTTCCAGGAAATGTTATCCTAGAAGTAAGAAAGACTTTTTTAAATTTTATTTTCTTAAACAGAGTACAAAAAGAAGAAAAGTATAAGTAAGATAAAATAAAATCAAGTTGCCAAGGGATTTTAAACAAGCACAACCAATACATTCAAACCCACAAATTTATTTTCTGTCATTCAGCACTCTATTCTGTACACCAACAAATTATCCGATAAAAAGGTTTATCTTGATTTACTAAATTCAGACAGATGCATTCCTTGACATCAATTTGCCTGTCAAGAGACTTGCTTAAATTTGTGCGATTGTGACCAGATGAACCCGCTCAGCTGGACTGGGAAGGGACTTGTGCAGAAAGTCCCAGACTTGCTCCCTGGTATCTCCAGCCTTTTGTGGGTGGGAGGAGGACGGCCAGTAGGGAAGGCCCGCTCCTCCAAGGGCCTGGGGTGGTAACCAAGATGGACAAATAGCCTGAAGCGAAGATAGGCGTCATTGGTTCTATGTTAGCCTTCCCCAACCGCGTGCCCATCAAGTGTGTTACGCTATAGCTGTCATCAGCCCCAGTCGGAATGGCCAATGGGTATGTGTTTGGGGATCATGGGAACTATACACATCTGGAGGGCAACACATCGGAGAGGGCTGTTAAAGTGCGTTTCTTTAATCTTGTATGTCCTTACAATAGCCATGCAGCTTGCTAAGCTCCATCTGCTGTAGACCTTTCCATTGGTGTTTCCACTGTGGCCACGGCAAGGCGGGGTAGGACTTCCCCAGATCAGTGGCAGGCATTCTGCAGTTCTCAAGCAGCACAGTGGCAGATGACAGTGCGCAAATACAGGGCTCGGCATTGTATGCAATGTAGAGGTAAATATGGGAAAGGCGTAGGCTAAATGGGCAGTGGCCCCTAAAATGGCAGCTGTGCTGCTTCTGTGCACTGTGTGGCTAAGGGTCCTCTTTGTCTCAAGGACCCCGTGCCCAATGGATCATAATATGCCTGCTGATGCACTCCATATTCCTGCCACCGTTACCTTTCCTCGCAGTAAGTTCCAGAGTCCTCAGAAACTGCGCCCACAACATGGAGAGCAGAGCATAGAGGTGTGTGTGTGCACATTTTCAGAAACTGGGAGCTGAAAATGTGTGTGTGGGCAGGAGCATTTTCAGGGGTCACCTAGCATGGCTCTTGCGTGCAGATACAAGCAGACATTGCATACTTCATAGAGAGTCCTGCTGGACTATTGGTTCAGCGGATTATAAATTCAATTATCAATAAACTACTGTCTCACAAAGACACCCCACAAGCTGCAGAAAATGCCTCATTTCTGTTTGTGGGTTCCTTCACATCTGAACCAAGCACAGGCAACCAGTTCTGTTCTCGCTTAAGGATATGTTTAAATCCCAAACCTAAAAACCTGTTTGATGTTTGCATTCCCTCATGAGGAAGCCTCTGCGGTGAAGTTCTGTCCAATGCGTGAGGTGGTCTCTTATAAAAATCCCAAGAATCTAGTTAAATAAGTAGGGTAACTAACAACTAGAACCTGAAGTATTTTGTATATTTTGTGATTCAAGGTAATCAAAGCTGCTTTGAGCCAAGTGAAGGCAGTCTCCCAAGGTGCAGTCACTGATGCAGAAGTTGCGAGAGCCAAGTAAGTAATCCTGCCAGAACTATTTTTATGATACGATCATGGCCTGTTGCCAGTCCCCAGATTTCAAGTATATTATTGTTCCCCCTTCCTACACTCACTTTTTTGGGGAAAACATTCTTGCTATTCAAGACTGGTGAAGTTCTGTAGAATCAGTTGTAGTTCTTTTAAACATTTTGTTAACTGAGAATTCTCCCTTTCTTGTGTATCTGAGTCCAGTTAATCATGTAGGACAAATGTGATGGTTCTGAGATACTCAGTAGAAAGAATAGTTGTTTTCCTTGTGGAAGATTGCAGGTTCTGGCCCTGGTCTCTCCAGTTAAAAAGGCCCAAGTAACAAGCAATAGGAAAGACACTGTCTGCCCGAGACCTTGGAGAGCAGTCGTCAGCCAGAATAGAGAGCACTGAGCTAGACGTACAAGTGGGGAGCCACACAATGGTTTATTACATTCCTATCCCATCTCTTTTGCTCTTGTCTTGTAAGGAACTCAGGACAACATGCACATACTTCCTCCTCTCCTTTTTTTTCTTCACAACCGTGTTGTGAGGCAGGTCAGGCTGAGGATTAGGGACTAGCCCAGGCCGCCTGGCAAACTTCATGGCCCAAGTGGGGGCTAGGATCTGGCTCTCCAGAGTCCTCATCCAGCACTAACTGCTATCCCACACTGGCTCTCTCTCTATTTTTTTAAAAGATGCAGCAGGACACTCAAATGTATTTCAACTCTGTTTGCTCTTAGGCTGTAGACATCACAAACTGTCACATTCGGCATGATTTCGTGAAGTGTGTGTTTGTGGCCTTTTCTCTTTGGCCTTTTGTGTTTACTGAAATTAGGAAGTGGGGAAGCCAACAACTGAGGCAGCCTCAAATGTGCCCTTCTAGGCAGAACTAGACAGGAAAAGGCCCCGACTGGCTGGGGCATGCTGGAAGTTGTAGGGCCTTTTTCCTCTAAATAAACTTGCATAGGATGGCATTCCAAATGTATTGCAGCAAAATCAGCAGAGCGCCCTCTGGTACCTTAAAGATGAGCAAATACGCTGTGGCATAATTTTCATTCTAGCCTGTTTCGTTATAGGGTTTACAAGGTAAGAAGTTGTTTCCCATTGCCGCCTCCTGCACAGTATGAAACAGAGATAGCTTGAGTATCACTGAAATCTGAAAGATCCTCCACCAGTGCAGCTTTAGCTGCCACTGTTGCCCAGTAGCTGCCCTCTGGAAGTTTCTCCACCCTCACCCCCATTACGCCATCACCATCTATTCCTCACATAGTGAGCAGGCAAGACCATGCTAGGCAAAGTCAAAGGCAGAAGGAGAGAAAGGCCAGTGTGAGATGGATTGACTCCATAAAGGAAGCTGCAGCTTGAGTTTACAAGAGCTGAACAGCAAATTTTGGTGGACGCTCATTCATAGGGTTGCCACGAGTTGAAGATTACTTGACAACACATCACAACAATACCTTTCATGAACCATGTTTCATTTTATCTGACACACTAAAAAAGGGACAATTTCTTTCATAATTTAGGAAGTACAGCAACCAATTTCATGGGATTAAAACTGGTTTTGCTTTCAGAAGTATCCCTGTGCTATTCTCCACCCGGTACTGTGAAGGGAAGAAACTGCTGAAGTTACTTGCCACACAGATTCTGATTTGAAGCCATAGTCCATGTGGTTCAGAAATACAATAGCCAGGTGCAGAATTCTGCCACGCTGTTGTTGAGGCCTCTGTGTCTGCCCAAAGAAATTTTTTACACATACTATGACCGTGATTTTTCTTACGTGTAGCAAGCATCTTCCCGTTTCCTGCAATACTGGTGCCTTTAAATCTATGAGCATTTTGCCATTTCTGTAGGGAATGCCAAGTGTGATAGCTACACCCAAGTGTGTGTTCTTGGGTGCTTGAGCAGGCTGCTGTACTCACCTTCTCTTTCCCCAATGTACCCTTGGCAGAAACCAGCTGAGGGCAGCTTACCTGATGTCTATTGAATCCTCGGAAGGGTTACTCGATGAAATTGGTTCCCAGGCACTGGCGTCTGGGGCATACATGTCACCAACCACTGTCGTTGAGAAGATCGATTCCGTGGTCACTGCTGACGTCGTGAATGTAAGTCACATTCTGTGGATTATTCTATGACAGCATGGGCAACTGGATTTAATAGAATTATATCTCTGCGTTTAGAAACCATTCCAAGAGACTAGTAAAAGGGGTGTCCTGTCGATGAGTTAGCTGGCAGTCATAACCATAATGTTGCGGCTTGGCCCTCGGTGCCCTTGTTTCAGACGTGAGGCTACCAGGAACAGGGGTTTCCTGCACTGGCGCCCAGTTCAAATAAAACATTTCTGTTCAGCCACGCTTTTGCTAGCACTTGACCGGTCATTACTCCTTAGGGTCTGGGTGCTTGTTGTCCTCAGCTGCTCGATTTCTTCCTTGTTCTTTTCCTTTGTTTAGCCACTTTAGAGGCCTGGATTTGAAAGAAAGGTGGGGGATATAAATATTTAAATTACATCATTTTCTGTATAAACAATGCCTTTCTCTAATTATCAGACTATTTAAAATACTTCAGTTCTTTGATAGCTCAAAAATAGGCGTATTTCTGAAATACACTGTTGGCTGGGGAATGCTGGGCGTTCTAGGACGACTCTTTCTAAATATGGATAGGATTTTGCCCTCATAGGTTCTGCTCATCAGCAACTTTTCTGCTTTATTTTTCAGGCTGCAAAGAAGTTTGTTAGTGGGAAGAAGTCAATGGCAGCTTGTGGGGACTTGACAAATGTCCCTTTTGTTGATGAGTTGTAAGAAGTCAAGCAAGGGAGCCTAGGCTCACACTGAACTCTTAAGGCAGTTGCATTGACTGCCGTTTCCATCCTGTATTTATATATTTCAAGTGCTCTGGATTTGTAGGTGACATGTCAATTCACCAAAGTTAATAAAGTGCAGAGCTCATACACTTAGAGGATTCCCAGTATCTGAGTCGTCTTTACTCTTAATGCTATTCAAGCATTTCAATTGCTTTTTTTCCTGCAGAAAGCGGCATGTAGTACTTAACACAGAATTAAGTCCTTAGAGCAGACTCCTGAGAATCTATACTTGTGTACTGAATGGCTGCAGGCTGGTGGATGGAGGGCTGGGCTGGATTCAGGAGAGCCAGGTTCAAGGTTTAAAACTTCACCCTAGGCACAAGTTCACCGGGTGGCTGTGAGCTGCAACTTCACAGAGTTTTCACATTAGAGTGCTTTGAAGAGGAGTAAAAATGCCTCCTGTCCTGGCCTTTACACCTATTCTGCTCCCTTATGGGCCTAATGATGTAATTCTGTTACCACTGGCTGCTGTCCTGAGCACTGTCCATGCCCTCTGCCATACAAGCCTGCCTGTTAAGGTCATCTTGGAGGCCCTGGTCTGGTTGCCCTCACCATGAGAGGCTATGCACCTGACTGGGGAGAAGAGCTCTGTAGTAGCAACAGTGTTCTCGGAAATAACAGTTTCATACACTCAATTGCTTAGATAGCAATTTAAAACTACTTCATTTGCTTAGGCTTTTAATGAATCTGTTCCTGTTCATTCTTTTGTGATTAGTTATGGTTTTATAGAGTTTTATTATGGATAGGCCTCCTTGTAGGTTAACATTTATAAATATTTACATTAATGACAGGCCATATTGTTCTGTGTAATGAATTGATTAATCCATCCATCCTGTCTACTTAGCTGATCTAAGAGCCAAACAAGGCTAGCTGAAATTGTTATTTATAGCAAGGGGAGGTGGAGATCATTAATACTATAAATGGTTCCTCTAACGCCAACTCTAAATGGGTGCAGCGCTATAAAATGTGAAAAGCCACTTGTGGAGTTTTTTGCTTTGAAAGACAGAATATAAATAATTAAAAGAAGCAATACAGTAGACTTGAAGCAATTGGCTCCAATGGGGAAGCCTTAGCCAGCATACTAGACAGATGTACGCTCGTAACCCTGCAAGCGTGAGCAACTCATAGGCACTGAAATCTGTCTTTTGTCTATACAAAAGAGTCCAGCAGCAGAGTAACAGGCTCCAGGAGTTCTACCTTTGTCATGCAGATTACTCATTTTCAAATTCGGGGCTTGTGTAAGTCCTCTAACCCTGAAGATGCTAAAGGGGATCAATGCAAAAGTTAAATTCATTTTAATCCATAGCTCATTATCAAGTCAAATTGATCACTTACCTCTCAGAGCTGAAGACGACTGTCTGCTCTTGCAGTTACACCTTGTAGCTTGACTACTAAACGTCTAGAAGCATGATGTCCATTACAGAAACTGGTTGTAGTCCTTTTCACTTCCCCACCTCTGAGATAGTCACCCCCACTGCCCACCGCCCAGAGAAAGTATCTCTTGGTTTAAAAAAAAATGGTTGCCAAATAGATGAAAGCATTTTCAATTGAAGGATGAGGTGTGAGTGAAAATTCAGCTAACGGGATCGAGTTCGAGATACACTCTTTCTGGACATGTGGAAATTGCATCCAGTTGCCTACCTATTCAAATTCATAAGCAAAGTTTTCCAGCCAGAATGCATCTGACACAGATGAAGAAGTAGATGACTCTGATGACTCCACACACTGTTTTGGCATAGTCCAATATGGGGAAGAGGCTGTTAAAGACGACACGGCAGCATCAGGATCGCTTTTGGCTTCAACATCTTTATGAATCATAATGTCACATCCAATGTCTGAACCCACAGTAAATGTGTAGGTTTTCCTTTCGAAGATGTGCCAGTCTTTAGAGATCCACTTCGGTTGGTTAGAAAGCGACTGAACAGCTTTAACATTACAAAGCTTGTCTGCGGGTGCAGTTCTGTTGTTAAGAGGAGCACCAGTGACTCCAGCAGAAGTGCCAACCCCACCGTCATCAAAACTGACAGCACGGCGCCCGCCCGTGGCATCCTCATCTGGATTGTTCCTGCCGCCAACATCAATGGAGTCATCGCTGCTCGTCCAGGCATCTTCACTTGCACAGCTTGACAAGCTGAAATGGACAAAAACTCTCTTAGACAATAATCCAAAGGATCCAAAACTGGTGCTTCACTTGTGGCGTTTTAATAACTGGGCAAACTTGGGTAGGGCCTCTGCTTTGTGTGCAGGAGCAACTAAGTGCAATCCCTTAATCGCCATCTTCAGTGAAGCAGATCAGGTGGCAGCTGATGGGGAAATTCCGGATACCTGGTTAGAGCACTGGCTGGATTAAGACAACAGGATAACCCACCCTCAAGGGGTGAGTGTTGGCAGCCACTGACTTGTGGGTTGTTGAAATGTGGGGCATTATGTTGCCTGAACCCAGCTGTGCTAATAAGGCATGATTTGTTAACTGCAAACCACCGATGATGAGAACTCATGGTCTGTCGTTGGGTTGCAAGCTGAGTTGTTCATGGTTATCAAACCATGGCTTGTTAGCACAGCTGAGTTCAGGCAGCATGATAATCCACATAATAATGCCCACTGCACTGTTACGATTCTGAAGACTTTTTCATGTCCTAGGCTGTCCCCTGTCGGTTCATTTACCCAAGAAGAGCGGTTGTACAGATGGTACAATCTGATGATCTGCGTTTCAGCGTTGTGCCATATGCTCACCAGCTTGAAGTATTTTAAGTACTTGATAGTCACTGTAACTAACAGATACGAGGAAAGAGCTCAGCAGCAGAACAAGCTCTGGCTTGGATGCCAGAAGTTTCCAGTCTAAAACCTTTGACAGCCGCTTCCAGGCAGAGGAGACAACGCTGACTGCTTCCTCTTGTCCTACGGGATACTAGCTTGGTGGTACTGCTGCAAAGATTAAGTGCAGTTCACAGATTTGACTCCTGCCTACCTTCGAAACTTTCTTCAAAATGCAGCAGAACACCTTGTTCTCTTTCCTCTCCTCCGCCCCCTGCTCGCCCACACTCTGGTTTCCATTCTTTATTTCTTCCATGCCTTATGCAACCTAACATTATGAGCCCTTTGGAGATGGAAAAAGACATCTGTTCTGTATAATGTCCCCACTAAATCACTAGGATGGGGCAGCCTATTAAATATAAATCAGTTCCACATATCGTTTGGGAAGAGCTAGCAGTACGCTGCAGCCAGGTTTGCACATAGTGCTCTGATGAAGTTTGACACGCAACTTTCAGTGGGGACCTTTTGAAAAGTTACCTTAAACTAAGCAGGACTGGTTGAAAAGATACATTCTCCTGTACAGTGGATAGCTTTCAAATGGAATTCTGTAGTGAATCCCTTTGGAGGCAGGGATGTAGCCGCTGTTCCCTCTTCTTTATTCCAACAGCTGAATTTGGACCCGATGCCCCTCCCCTCCAGCCAGTATCAGGAGAAGTGAGCGTCTCTTATTTTAACCTACTTTAATTTTCTTCACTTCAGGAAACATACGTAGGGCTGTTCTGTTTCAACAGACTATCTGGTCCCCATGTTCATGTGACTGTTATAACTACAAAGCATTTCTGATTCTTGTGTAGGTTTTCGTTTTTCTAATTACTTGGTTCAGCCTTCAAAATTCAGTGAAAGAAAAGTGCTTCGCACATAGGCCATATTCCAAGTCTCATCGTTGGTCCATTGACCTGGCCCACCAAATATTTGGGCTTCAAACCCTATCAGCCCCAGGCAGTATGGCCAATAGTCAGGAATGCCATGAGTTGTAATCTAAAATATCTGGAAGGCACCAGGTTGGGAAAGACTAGTTCATGCTCTACCATGACTGGGTTCAGACAACAGTACAGGGGTTACATGTGGGCTGTTGATGAACCATGGATGGTTGCTAAATGTTGGTTATGTGACAAGCCATGGCTTGTTAACCATGAACAACCTATGAAGAGAACTCAAGGTTCTCAATTGTCAGAATCCATGGTTGTCAACTGTGGATTGTTTACCATGGCTTGCCATCTCAGCTGGGTTCAGACAACATAATTATCCACAGTACTACAACAACCCTTGGTTCAATTACATCCCGCATTCAACATTTTCAGCACTTCTAATACATTATTGAACTCTCAGGCATTTACTGTACAAAGCGTGTTATACCTACTGAAGTACAGCCCCTCTTTAAATTTCCCCCTTTGAGAAATCAAGGTGGTCAAATAATGTTACCATTTACCCCCCACCATGCTGCCTTTCAGGATCTTTCCCCAAAATTCCAGGTAGAAATCTTCAGATTCTTACTCTGCTATCTCAGGCCCTTTTATTTCAGGAATGTTGTTAAAGGCGGCTTCCCACCGGACTGGTAATTTTCTAAAATCTCTGTAAACCTGGATTTGCAGAACTGTCCCTATAGGCGTTCTGTGCAAAAGTTGCCTTAGTTCCCGCAGCGTCCAACCTAAGACATTAGCATGTCCGATTTTAAGCAGGATGTCACCTGGAAGAAGAAGCAAAGAGAGATCTTCATTTAGCTGTTGTGTCATCAGATGACATTGAAAACCACATATGTTTTATTGGCTAGTTCCTAGAAGGCTAGCTAAGTTCGTTTCCTGCAGCGAAAACAACAGAGTCTTGTGGCATCCTGAAGGCTAACAATTTTTTTAAGGCATAAGCTTTCTCTGGATATGTTCCACTTACGCTTCATCCTGTTTGTCATTCTGTATATTGATAAATTTTCATATCCACTCAGATATAACTGAATATTCTACAGACTTGACAAGTTAACAGTATAGTGGTGGGAGAAGCTGTGAGATACTCTTTTAATCAGCATTTTTTCCATCCCTGTACTTCAGTTCAGGAGGCAGGAAACCAGGGGCCCAGTGAGTATAAGATCACACACAGATCTTACTAAATATATCTGGGGAGATGCATGGGAGAACCAAAGATCAGAAGCAGATGTGTGTCTCCTGTAACCTCTAGTTAACTCCCGTAAGAAATTGCCAGGTGGGAAAAAAAGTTATTTATTCATTTCCAGAAAAGTTCTAATTGCACAAGCTTTTGGAAGACATTCCACAGCAGAGGTAAGTAGTACAACTGTAGAAGATCTTTTTGTCCCTGAGCCTTGCATCAGGTGTATTTTGCATTTTTTCCTTACCTGTTTGAAGTTTCCCATCTTTCACTGCTGCACTTTTCTCCACCAGACCTGCGATCTGGATGTAAGGCCCATTCTGGATGAGGATTAAACCCAACCCATTCTTTTCCATTTGGATGTTCGTCTTCACTGTTGTGCTCAGCGTATGTTCAGACTCTTCCATATCTGAAGAGTCATAATCTATATGAGAAAGAGATCTTAATTTCCAGAGTAAAAATCAATTTTGCAATGGCTTCTATGCCCAGCATTCTTCAGTTTAGCAATAAGATCTCTATGGCCTTCACTGAGCAAAGCTGCATGTGTCCCTTTTTGAAATGAATTGCGTTTTTATCCTGCCCTTTCTCCAAAGAATGCTGGTTTTCATGCCACATTTGCTGCATTCAGTGAACTTCACAATTGAATTAGGATTTAAACTCGGATCTCCTCAGGCCTGTGAGGATTTTGATCGCAACAGTTCTATAAAGCACTTGATTTGGTTAGACATGAGCTTGCTGTGCTTTGCGAAATGTCAGGTTCCCAGAAAAAGAGACCCTAACCCTAAAATGCTTCAGGAGGCGGTATGCCTACAACTCTAGAAAAGATTTGGAACTCTAGAAAAGCTCTAGAAAAGAGCATGACCAGGGTCATGAATGTGTGAAAAGGAGTGCAGAATACTTCAAAGGGGTTAAAACCTGAACCCAGAGAGCCCATCACACAGTTTTCCCTCAAAGACTGGCGTGACTATCAGTTACATACAACTAATGCCTAGCAGCCATAGGATTGTGCCCTAAATTAATTAATAAAATATTCAAGTTTCAGAAATCCAGCTTTTTGACTCGGGATTCCAATTTCAAATACAGAACATGCATAGCCTATTATTAAGAGCTAACAGACAGCAGCAACTCCTGGTTATTGCAGTACGGAGGACCTTGAGGGCTCCACCTAGATCAGCATCCTGCTTCAACAGTGATCAGTTTGGTATTTCTCAGAATCTCACAAGCAGGGCATGACAGCAACTGCCATCTCTTACACTTGCCACGTTCTCGACTGTGTTTCATGCCGGTTAAAGTTTAGTAGCCTCCACCACATTTTTCACAGCAAATTCAGGGGTCCCCTCGCTTTCTGAGTTGGTAGGCACATCTTGGGAGTCTTGAGTGTTCTCAGAAAATGGCTACCCTGGTGGGCACGGTGGCTTACAAAAACATATCTCCGAATACAAGTTGGTGAGACCAAAAGAAAAGTCACTTAACCAAGAACCCCAGTACAAGACAAAGGTGTGTTTTGAGTTCTGAAACACAACGCTTTTGTTTTCTGGCCCAAAAAAAGATGGCACCGGAGGGCAGCACTTCACTTTGTAGTAAGCTGGCTTTTGAGATTTTAGAAAGCGTTTTAATTTTGAAACATCAAAATTGCAAGAGTTGGGGAGCCTGATGGGCAGCAGGAGAGCTGTCTGTACACGAGTGCCTGAGCCCCATAGTGGCAATTCCAATTTTACATTAGTTCCACCCTGAATCTACAGCCACTCACCTGTATCCCAGTAATTCTCATAATCATCGGAGTCTGTGAATAGGCTTTCATCCTTGTTTTCTGGAGAGAGAGAGAGAGAGAGAGAGAGAGAGAGAGAGAGAGAGAGAGAGAGAGAGAGAAGGTGGATATGATAACAATGCTTGTTTTGCATATTTAGTTCACCTTTGCCATAAAATGCTTTGGGGAGACAACTGTAGCACTTGGCGCAGAGTTGTATACAAAATCCCAGCCAACTGGGTTTCAGAAGACTGACAGAATATTGATAATCTCAATCCAGAGGCACTGACATCGACCAGGACGCAAGAATGGTTTAGAGGATTTTTTTTTTACTTGTTTTTCCAGTTTGAATCACAGGCTCCTATGGCAAACTGCTTTAGAAAATCCCCTCATTGTCAAAACCCATTTGCCGTGAAACCCTGCAAGCTACTGTCTAAGGAAAGCAAAGCCCAAAAGATCCCGTGGACATACCAAATTAGTTTCATGTTTCCCTGGATCACAGCCAAGACACCCATCTATCAAAATGAAACTAGTTCTTTTAGTAATCCTGAAAAGAACACAAGGAAGAAAGTTGGTCTGTAAAGCGGTAACTTTTTGAGTCGTGCTTATGGCATCCCCTGGCACCTCGGTGCCACCAGAGCATCGCTTGAAGCGCAGACTTGTAGAGGCAGGTAATGCCGACCCTTCCATTAGGCAGAGGCAGGTGTTTCACATGGCAGATGCCGAGAGGGCAGCAAGGTGTTGGAAGACAAAGCAAGGTGCTTGCTCAGCCTGCAGGTGAGCTGCTCCATTGCCAACGTTGAGGAAAGATGCAGCTGCCAGTCCGGTCAGCTTTTGCACTCAGAATGGGAATGAGGGCACGATTGTTTCCTTCCCTTAGGCAGCAAAATTTTGGGGGGCTGAACCAATTGTAGAGGTAATCTCAACGGCTCCCATCAAAGAGCTCATGGCACTGACGGAGAAAGAATGGAAGACGAGAGAGTCTGAGTGTCATTTACCTGATGGAGATAGTTTTTTGAAAGGCGCTCTTCTACTGTTTGGGGACCTCTTCCTAACAGATGACCTCCTCCTGCTGGAAGACCTTCTTTCTACTGACCTCCCTCTGGAGGAGGACCTCCTTCTAGAAGGTGACTCTTTTCTACCAGGCGATGTCCTGTGGTCCATGGCTGCAGAGCCTCGAGGGAGTCTCTATGTAACCAAACATAGATGGAGAAATGCCTCTGCCCTGCTATTTGGGAAGACACCACCAACCTTCATGTATCAGGAGAAAAGTAGAGTAGGCAAGGTGGCCTTGAACCCTAGTAACAGTTTAGAATCCTAGTGCTGTTGAGTTCCAAGCTTCTTGGAACCTCCAACAGTGGGGGAGGATCAGAACCTAGCCTGTCAGATGCTCTGTGCCTTTCCTATGTGCAAGATTTGTCCACCGCTGTTGCAGGGACGGAATTGTTGGTATATGTTATATGGGAGCTTGTGATCAAAAGTCCCAACATTTGATTGCTTGTGTAACAGAAGAATTTGCTTAAAAACAGGACAGCAGTTTCCACAAGCCCCATACTGGACTAGCTCAGCAGAGTTTGGGAGGAGAATTAACGGCACTCCAATGTTGTTACTCTCATCCCACGTTATTGATCCCACTTTCCCAAGTTGGGTAAATATTTAGTTGAGTAAACATGTTGTGAGTTGAGCCGGGGGTCAGACTAGATGGCCTGGGAGGCCCCTTCTCACTCGCGCTGTTTGTGTTTATCTCCCTGTCACATTTTTACGTCCTCCAATACCCAAAGCTCTCTGGGTGGTGGAGTGAAATATAGCCACTTTGAGGGAGGGAGGCAGAGCTAAAACAAAGGTATCCCTTGGTGTGGGAAGAAGGGTTCAATTTCACCTCTTCCAATGTTGTTGCTCTGATTAGAATCTGGGGGAGGGGCATGGAAGCTCAGCTGCTTTCAAATAAAAATAGATGCATAAGGGAATTTGATCAGGATTTCCATGCTAGCCAATGATGATGAGTAGGATCCAAATTTAATCATACTTAGAGTAGACTTTCCGAAATGAATGATTCACTCAAGTCCCACTGATTTCAATGCTTATATTTTATTGGGTAGACGGGTGAGCCCACAGCCCAATCCAGCTGCTCCTAGTCCTCCAAGCATGGAGAATTACGGACATTCTGTGGAAGGCAGGAGGAGCACAGAGGCTAAGGTCATCTCCCACCGTGCAGAATACTTAGACACCAGTTTAGTTTAAGTGCTGTACTTGGAGAATGTAGGAAGGAGGATGGGGTGCCTCCAGGATGCCTCATATCGTGGTGACGCCTCTTATGCCTTCCCTGCCCACAAAACCCCAATGTGGAGGTTGTGTTTACAACCCCTCCCATCCTTTCATCTTCCTATGTACCTGCCTTCCTTTCTCTTTGTTCAGACTATATATGGTACTATCTTGTATTCTACTATACTTACTCTCAGGTAAGTCTGCATAGGTTTGAGCTGGAATTTGCAGGTGTACACCTTGCAATGTGTACATAGAAGGATCTAAAATATATTGCATAAACAGCCCACAGCTTAAATGTCACACGGCAATTAGCTTTGTGTGCACCAGTGTTATGGGTGTGTCATTTCAAGGTACTCGTTGAAGGGATGGGGTGTTGCTATAGTTATATTTATTTTTAGAATGCCTACAACTCTGTGGTTTTGCAGTTGCTAGACTTGGCAGACTAAAATGTGAATCACTGGCCAGTCATCTTACACCATCAGTTGCAAATGGATCTGATTTAGAATATTGGTCACCAGTCGAAAGCAGTACAGTATAGCTGGAAAGTTGGTTTAAGAGAGAAAAAAGGTATAGTTTTGTGCTGAGAATACTTATGCCTCATCCTTGCTGAGGTGGCATCCCTGTTTATACCTGCATCTGTGCCACTTCAGGCTGCATTTGGGGACTTACAGGATGGAATGCTCCAAAATATGAAAGAAACCCATAAATAACTCGGCATATAGACAATTAGATACCATTGAAAAGGCTAAGCTAGAACTTTTCTCCCTTACATCTAGTTTTCTACATACAGGAGTGTGTTTTGTTTGGGTATGGAAGAGCAGCTCCCCATCTACAATCTGAAGAAGCCAATTTACCCACTCACTGAGGCCTAAATTTAAACTACATCAAAAAGCAACAATACAGTGCATAGGTTTGCATGTCACACTAAGCCACCCCGTGAATCAATGAAAGATGATCAAGCTTACTATGGCCTGTTCCCCCCTTCCTTCCCTTCAGTCTTCCAGCTGGGAGCCCAGTGTCCTTGGCAGGAGAACTTGTCTGCCTCCCCTTCCCCACTCCAATCTTTATCCTTTTTTGTCTTTCACCCATTTTTATTTTCTGGAAATTCAAAAATGCACAGTTGGGGTTCTAACGTTGTTTTTTCAGCAATTATCATACATGCGCCAGTCATTCACAAGGCGCTGGCAACAAGTCCTGCCTGGTCAACTTTGTTGCCCATTTCAGCTGCCAAAAGGAACAGTTAGTGGAATAGGAACCAGATTGACAAGATGAGACTCCAATAAGCAGATTTATGCATAGTTGCCAGGGAGCAGCTGCCCAGCTATTGATTGAAAAGTGGCAAAAGAAGGTGCATCCAAAGAGTGTAGGGGTCAAAATCTCTCACTTAACAATGTGTTCCTATGGCTTTTTATTTTATTTATTTTATTTAAGACATTTCTATGCCGCCCCAATCGCAACAAAGCCTCGGGGTGGCTTTTACGAGTCAAACTGGCTGTTTTTCGTGTTCTTTACAAATTTAATGGCTGGGATGTAAATGGAGGGGCATTTTGTGTCCATCTGGGGGCTTGGCATTAAATGGAGGGGAAATGCATTTACTTCACACCTGCTTTTATGTACCTGCCTTTAAATGTATGCAAAAATCACCTCCCAACCAGTAAAGTTGCTTATATTTCTGCAGTGATTTTAGAACTATCAGGGAACCATAACAGTAAATGTTCTGAAAAGTAGCTGTGAAAAATGCAGGGAGATAACATTATCTTTAATAAAAAGGTGACGGTCACTCCAGAGAACAAGGGGCTGTGACAGAGGCGAGACTATCAAGAAAAGCAGGGCTATAGACCTGCAAACCTATCTCTGCTATCCATGATAAAAATGTTCTCTCGAGTTCAGGTGACATGCTAACCCATTGTGGGTTGAACAACCCCTAGAGAACAAGCTATGGGTTATTGGGGTGGCTTGTTGTCCCCAAATATGCCACCCTATGGAAAGCAGACTGCAGACAACATGGTCAGTACCAAACAGCAGCACCAGCCCTACTAGGCAGATTGAGGCAGCAGATTTGGGAGAATGGGGGGCAACAAGCTGTTGGAAAACAAAGCCATACCTGTTCACACAGGCTTTCTTGCGTCCCCAAAGGTACCCTGCTGTCTTCAAGGTGTGGCACAGGTGGCCAGCAGTGAAATAAGGTCTATATGCCAGTCTGGTTGCCTTCTATATATGGAATGGGAGGCTGTCTGTCCTTCTGCCTCATGTTCTTTAACTGAGGAAACCGAGGACATAACAGAGGTGTATAAAATGATGCAGTGTGGGGGAAGAGGATGGAGAAATGATTCACTCCCGCTCTCCAGCACTGTCCCATGAAGCTGAACTATGGGAGATGCAGGACATATCGAGGAAAAGGCTTCGTCTAGTGGTTGACCTTGCCATATAGCTACCAATCACCACCACCACTTCATTTCATTCATATCCTGCTTTTTGCTCCTTTCAAGGAAATCAAGGGGGCTGACATAATCCCCCTGCTGCTCTCAGTCATATCCCCACGGCAACCCTGTGGGCTGAGAGTCTGGGACAGGCCCAAAGCCCAAAGCCGGCTTCATGGCCGAGAGAGGGCCAGAACCCGCATCTCCTGGGTCCCGGCCCGCATCCTTAACGCGTTCACACAGCGGTTCCGAAAGGCGCGCAGGCAAATCCATGGAGCACAAGCCCGCCCGCGGCTGAGTCACCTTGGCTCTATCTCATCCCTGCCGTCACAGCCTGCAAGATCCTCGGTGCCGCTGCCTGAGGACCGCGAGCGGACGGGCGGGCGGGTCCCGTGACGACCGCGGCCGTTCAGGCCACGCAAGCTCAGCCAGGAGGGAGGCCCCGGCCTCGCAGCACGCGCCGCCCGCCCCCCGCAGAGCCGCGCGAGGATGATTCGCTCGACCCCCGGCGAGCCGCCGCGCCGCCGCCGCCGCCCGGACGAGGCTGCCCGCCTCCCGCCGCAATGCCCCGCCCACTTGAGCCCCGCCCCGCCCCGCCCGTGCCCCTCACACGCCCGCCCCGTTCTCTGAGGCCCCGCCCCTCCCGCGGAGCCCCGCCCCCCGGGGCTGTTGTTGTCGTCGCCGTCTCCTCGGCAGGCCCCGCCCCGTCTGGGGCAAAATGTGAAAGGAGCGCGGGGAGCTGAGGACGCGGGCGTGAGCGTTCGCTTCCGGGTCGCGGGGCTGGCGCGGCTCGGGTTTTGCTTCCGGCGCCGTCCCGAGTCGGGGCGCGGGGGGGCGGCGAGCGAGCCCGCCCGCTCCTGTGCAGCGGCGGCGGCCACCTGAGGAGAACGGCGGTGGGGAGCGGGGAGGGGGGGAGGAGGAGGAGGGGCGTGCGCTGTGGAGCGGGCGAGCCGAGCCATGGAGCCGCGGCTGTGAGGAGCCCTCGGCCCGGGCCCCGCCTGTGGGAAACCGGGCCGAGGCCGGAGCCGGAGGACATGGACAAACTGACCATCATTTCAGGATGCCTCTTTCTGGCCGCCGACATCTTCGCTATCGCCAGCCTGGCGAACCCGGACTGGATCAACACCGGCGAATCGGCGGGTGCGTGAGCGCCAGGAAGAAGGCAGGACGAGCGGACGGGACCGAGGGCTGGAAGGGAGGAGGAGGTGGAGAAGGACGGGAGGGAAGGAGGGCAGCCTGCCTGCACGAGTAGCGCTCTGGGTGTCTGCCAGTCGGTGTGTCGGTCAGGAACCCTGCGAGCGGGGCCAAGTGCTGAGTGTCCGAGGGAGACCGGGGGCCAAATCTGGCTTTCCAGTATATTGATCCGCATCATGGGCATCGGGGTGCTGTGCCTTGTTTTGGTTTTCTCTTGCAGAGGGGAGAAATAGGGAGGTAAATCCCGTGGGGAGAAGCTGAAGGGACGTGTGGATTCAAGTTGCACAGAGGCAGCTTTCCGAAGTAGTGAGCGTCTAGAAATCAAGGTGTGGGCTTAGCTGGAGCTTTTTAGGTGGTCGTAAAAGAAGATCTGCAGCGGGGAGCAATTTCAGTATAAGGAAGCCCGAGGATGCACTCGCAGGAGCTTGGCTGCTGTAAAAACTGGGGTGCCAGACTAGACGGAACTGATCTGGTTGAGTTTATGTTTGGGGGCAGAAGTCGAAGAACGGAGGGGGGCAGTGCAAGTGCAGTAGCAGGGCACGGGTGAATTCCAGCTCACAACATTTGGCTGCTGCATGAGGATCTATGTTGGTCTGATTTCTGATTATGTTTCGGGAACAGGAAGAGGCGCTGGAGTTCAAGTACAATGGGGTAAAACACTGCGGTGGGTGGAACTAGCTGGCCTGGTCCAGATCTTAAGTTTCAGCTAGGGGTCACCTTCCTTCTGCTGTTTCCTCAGCTTGCATACAAAACTGTTGATAACTGGTTTGTAGCATGGTAATTTTGTTAGACACCTCCACCACAACCATCAACAGGCTTTTAATTTAGGAAAAACTGGAGATGATGATGAGTGGGGAGAGGCAGGCAATCAAGAACACCATGATAGTTCAATGGATCCTCTAGCCAGGTTGCAGTATGTTGCTGAATGTCAGGTGCCTGGGGTCAGCTCTAATGGGGATTGGGGAGTTACTGTGTTGATGTCCTGTTGGAAGGCGCTCTGTGGCATCTCTTTGGCCACTGCAGGAAAAAGGGTGGATTATTGCTCAGATTCAGAAGAGTTCATGTCAGTGACTAGAAGAGCACTCAGCTTCATTTATTTCTCTACTCTTTGCTCCCATCCCACAGAATTGCTAAATAGGAATATGGAACCTGTGGCCTTTCAGATGTTGTTGCATGACAACTCCCTTCAACCTTGGCTGGTCTGATCAATCATCAGAAATGACAAAGAGTCATAACCCAACATCTGGATGACCACAGGTTTGCCACACCTGCACGAAAGCAGGGATGGGCACTCATTGGGTCTGTAGGATAGACTTTGCTTTTCAGTAGCAGGGGTTGGGGAGCCAGAGACTTTCTAGACATTTTTGGACTACCATTCTCATTGGCACCAGCTTGTCCAAAGGTAAGCAGTGATGGGAATAGTACTTCATGAGCACTTACTCTGGTTCTAGCTTAAGCCTCTGTCTAAGAATGGAACTCTTGTGATACTTTTCTCTAGCCATCCACCTAACAAGTTTATAGACTGCATGTAGCCACATCTGAAAAGTATATGCTTTGCAGATCAGCATGGGATGAGTCTCCTGCAGGGATATTGTATCTAGAGAGAAACCAGTATGAATCAAGAATACATAATACTACTTTGCTGGTCAAGGGGAAGAACAAACACATTTGAATGATGAATGTGCTGTCCCAGTGAAGGTGTCTCCTGGAGAGCTTGCTAGCAAATAGAAAAACAGTTATCTTGACAACTTGGGGAGGAGAGCACTACAAATGGACAGTGAAACAAACAGATGACCTGTGCACTAATGTATTGGTGAGTGATATATCAATTCTGTTAGTGTTTTCCTTTTTCGTGGAGCAGTACGGCAGAGGAAGCTTGATGACTGAGTTGGCACACTTGGCCCACGTAGCTGGTGGCTCATAAATAATTTTAGAAGAAGCAGGGAAGGGATTTGCAAGCAGAGGTCACTTCAGGCAAGTTAGCCGTTGCTGCTCCGTCGGCCAAGTGCGGTCCAGGTTGTTGCTTGGGATAGGGCAAGAGCAAGCAGCGCTTGCTTGAATAGAAGCCGCTCTTGTGCCACAGGGCTTGCCTGCCCCCAGTGTCTGCACATTGCTGTCCCTGTGTCCTCCAAAAAGCTGGTGTCTTTGCCTGGATTGTGCCACTGGGGGATAGAATGCAAGGGGGCATTGCAGAGGAAGGTTGGCCAAGCCATTGAGCCATGGACTTAATGGCTCGTACCATTTAAAGGAAATGGTAGGGTCCAGCGTTTCCTTCGCCTGGAGACCTTAAATGTCCTGGAATTACTTCTTGAAACCTAACAGCTGTGTAGTATTACATTACCTAGGATGGGGGTGAGAGGAAGAGAGAAGGGAAACATATTTCTTTGGGGAGGAAGGAGAATATGAATACGCTATGTGATAAGCTGGGGGTGGAGATGGGATGCTCAGTCACAAAATACAGTCAACTGTAGTAGCCTTTGGTCAGTCTTTTGACCATGTATTTGACCCTGAAGGAGGAGGAGATATTCTGCCATCAGTCAAATGTATCAAGACAGATATTTGTGGTGAGAGAGGATGCAGAGGGAATGGGGGGGTTCCCTTCCATGTGATGAAAGTAAACAAGATCACTGTTTGCTTACAGTGCGATGTCAGCATGTGTTTGGCTGGTGCTGGCGAGCTGGTTTTTTTTTCTTGATGCAACTGCGCATGGGTAACCATTTTGTGAGTGAGTGAGCCTGCCTGGAGTAAGGGTTTAAATTGCCGTGTTAGAGGGTGCTTCAACCAGGATAGATTTAATGAATGCTATGGAGTTCACCTGATATGGCGGACTTGCTGCAGTCATGTGGGAAATTCTACTTCTCTTCTGCCTTTTTTCTGACAGTCTTAATCCTATGACAGTGAATTGGAATAGTTCTTTGGGATACTGATCTCTCTGTTACTCTGTGTAGGAAATGCAAAAGATTCATTTAATTTCAAGAATCAACTTGTGTAAATTATCCAGTGGTATCGTACACATTTCTGTTCATAACACTCTAATTTTTATTAAACCACTCCATTTTAAATGCTAAGTCCATTTGCAATGTAACATGTTCTTTCTTGGGCTCAGGTGTGTTTTGGTGCATTGTGAGGCCTTCCTTCATTCATCTGTGGAAATCCAAATGTCTTTCTAATGAAAAAGATCGTTATTTGTCTGATCTAAATTGGGGACAGGTAAATTACCTGTAAATCAAAGTGTATGATGTTTTCCGACATATATGAATACAGGTCCCTAGTTTGAAGAGTCTCCAATTTGGTATTTACACAGGGGGGACAACAGAGGGAGGAAAAGGAAATATATTAGGTTAACTGTGCCTGTTTCTGGTGAAATTGAAGATACACAAAAATCTCAGCCAGTGGAAAGGTGATAGGTATAATTGTTTCCCGTTTCAAACAGCTTTATACACAGAGGCAGGGATTAATACATAATTACTAAAGCCAGAGTTAACCTGAATGTTGCCTTCCCAGATTTATGTTGATTTCTATGCAAGTATCTGTTTCATGTGTTCCTCAGAAAACGAGAAATCTATAAAACTGTGGCCATTGTTTAAGTGTTTTGTTGCAGTTCCAGTTAAATTCTCCTCTCTCCCATCCTGCAGCCATCCCCAGTGTGATTATTTTTCCTATCTCTGCTTGATGTGTTAGCTCCATCAGGAATCTAAATAAATGGATTGGAACACACAGCAGCAGTCCTTCAGTCTTGAAAAGTGCCATGAATGCTCAGAGAACATTGCCGCTCTATGGGAGAAATTGAAGCATCTCAGTCCCTAGTCTTGTCTTTTGATAACAGAGTTGCAAAGCAAGACAGCAGTGAGGTAGCCACTGGGGACCAGGGTCATGTATAGCCACAGGCTTATTAAATCAGGAGCTGGATTCTCTCCCCACCCCTCTTTAAAGCACAGTAAGGATGTCGCTTATATCATGTGCTGGAAGACCACCCCCTTGGCCCTCCAAATAAACAGGCATTTGAGTTATTCTAAAGTTACCTAAAGACTTCCTGACATATTATTTACATGTCTATACCACCCTTAGCCAAAGCTTTCTGGGTGGTTCACAACATTAAGTCACCCATCCAAATATCAACCAAGCCTGACCCTACTTAGCTTTCAAGATTAGGCAGGATTAGCCACTTCAGGCTATATGTAGTCATATGAAATGTCTATATATACAATGTATTTATGTATAGCTATATGAAATGGCTATATGTGTAGTCATATGAAATGTGTACAGTCATATGGAATGTTCTGGTTTGGTTTCATTTCATTAAGTCTAGCTGTTTTCTTTAAGGCTTTCCTGTGATGGCAGCAGTTGTTTGTTGCTTGTGGTGCTTTGCTATGAGGGATAAGATCTGGCAGTGATGGTAGTATTCCTTGATGCTGCTGTCCCAAATAACCGGTCATTGTTTTTACTTGTAAAATATTGTTGGTTGGTTAATTTTTGTGGAAATTGCACAAGTCAGCTTCCAGCTTACACTCCTGTTTGTGCGAAAATGTGACCCTGCAGTGCATCTGCTGCATAACTCCTTAAGCAGACAGGAGGTACCACTCTTGCAACAGAAGTAAAACCTTCTGAGAGCAGTACGGTTTCGTTTTGCAGAAGGCTAAATGGGGCTATTTCCAGTGACATTGAGAACACACAAAAATACCCCAGAGCCCTGTGAGCAAAAATGTGATGCAGAGAGCCCTTGACAGGTAGCAATTCTATTGCAAAAAAGTTGACGGGTTAATGTATCATGCCTCCATGCTCCCAGCATGATAGCCAATACTACCATTCTGGGTACCTGAGACACTGTCTAACCAGAGTAATATCAGGAGAAGCACCTGGCAACAAGGGCAATGGCAGCAATGCCTTAAGTCAGCCTTTGCTGACCTGGTGCTTCCAGATGTTTTTGGCAGCAGCGCTCGATATGC